TGAGAACCTATTTTGGACAGGCTTTTTGATTTTCAGCGAGCGAGAAGGAGACACTACCTAACATAAAATGCATTTCATTCTTTTTGTGTCTCCATGGCAACCAAACTGTGTTAGCCTCTTATTGACTCCAATGCACTCACACTTTCTCCGTGTCTCTCCCTTTCGTTATCACTCTTTCACATTTCCTTTTGCTGGAGACTCGCAAGAATGTGTTCAGATTCTTTATAAACTTTCTCTGTGTCTTGGCCTTCGTCCTTGGTCTTATTGCTGATGCATTCTCTTTGAATTTATTTTTTCATTTATTATTTTTTTGTGAAATTCAATTTCCTCCTTTTCACCCTTCACATCGTCTCTTATCACAGTTTTATTCTCTTTCAAGTTATGTATTTAGATTTTTTGGAATTAAATTTCCTGTTTCTGCAGGCCATCTTATTTTTTAATAAAATGCCCTCCTTAATTTCCCTCTGCATTTTAAAATTGCAACGTATATTTTTTTTTTATACAGTTTGTCCTTACAAAGTTAGGAAATTGGGAAAGATATTAAAATTGTTTTGGAAAGAAGGCAGAAATGAAGGGCAATATTGGCAGACTGGAATTAAATTCCGTGATCCAAAATCAAACAAAAATTGCTCAGGGGTACACTGTAAAAATTTAAGGTGAATCGGGCACATCACTTTCATGAATCTGGAAAACATATTTTTGGTTGTAAATTAGTAAGTAAATTATAGTATAATGTTTAAATTTTGCTTCAACTGCACCAAATCTGCCTTTTGTGTTGTTCACATTCAATTTTTTTGCTTTGCGGCTATGCATTGTGCTTTAAACTATGACAGAACATGTTCTATGAATTTTCGCGTTTGCCCCATGTTGCTGATAATTACACAAACTCAATTATTTATATTAACTTGTGCAGTACTTAACAATTCTGTTCGCACACCAGCTACGTACACATGCACTGCACAATTATTCCATTGCATGTACTATTTATTAATATATAGATATTATATTATGCTGTATAATTATATATTATTTTATTCTTTGCAGTTATTATTGTTTTGTCTATTTCTATACATTTTCTATTGCTGCTGTTGTTATTGCTTGTATCACTGCAACGGCAGTAAAGTCTCTTTAGTCTTCACATCAGTAGATTGGTGTGTTTTTAATAGACCAGTTTTTCATTTTTGTATACACTCAAAATAAAGGTATGCAAGCTGTCCCTGGGGTGGTACCTTTTCAAATGGAACATATTTGTATCTAAAAGGTCCACATTAATACCTCAAGGGTACTTATTAGTACCTAAAAGATACAAAAGTGTTTCTCTTAAAATGTATAGTTACTAATATATACTTTTTAGGTACCAATATGAAAAGCACAAGAAAAGGCACCACCCCAGTGACAGCTTGCGTACCTTTATTTCTGAGAGTGTACAATATGAAATAACAAAACTGACTCATTCTGTGATTTCTGAAAGATCAATAATATAAAATGAGTCAAATTACTGTAAACCACAGGCCATAAACCATTTTATTGCATAAATTCATTAATGATTTTTTTTCTTCTTCTGAATTTTAACAAAGTTTTTGTTTAAAAGCACACTCATTGATTATTAACCCTTTCATGCACAAGCTATAAAATACACATAGAAAAATTAACATAGGCGGGTCACTTTAGACCCATGTAGTCCATCAAAAGGTTAAAAACAACTATTATTTCTGATTAATACTGAAAGCAAGGGCCAGCTTTTGTCACCGTAGATTATAGTGCAATTTAATCTACATGTTGGTTGTAGTTTAGACACTTCATGAGGAGTGCTTGACTAGTCCCTTGTTTTACTAGTATGTCATGAGTTTTTTTTTTTTAAATGAATAATTTTTTTCTGTATTGTACATGGAGGTTCAATGCTGAAATTTGTCACAAAAGAAGATGAGCTGGCATGACCAGCACTGCTCCAGAGGCACCAGCAGTTGCACATGTACAGACACAGGTTGCAGCACTGAGAACCGTCCATCTCTACAGGTACAGAGAGGGCTTCATTCCTTACCTTTTGTAAATGTTTGAAATTGGGAATGCTTCTGTAGAAGACATGTCAGTGTTTATTTTGATGTAAACTATTATTTTGTAATTTAAATATTTGAATGTTTAAGTATAATTTTGAGTGTTTATGTATATAAATAAATAAATACATGTTTTTACGCATATTTTTGTGTGATTTTGTTCCTCTGTGGGGGCACCACATTAAAATTTTGCATAGGGCACCCTTTTGGCCAGCAGCGGCCCTGTGAATCACACACATTACTCATTTTTGATTGCAGCAAAAACAGTTAAATATGGTTAATTAAACTCCGGAGACTGAATGCTTGGAATGAAATGTAAAAATGTAGGTTCACATACCCTACCATACAGGTGCAGTTGCCATAGAGTTGTTTTGCTTGTTGATGATTACCCAGGCCTTGTACTGTTCTGTCTTTTTTCCTTGTCTTTGGCTAGGCAGAACCTCGGTTCTACATAGTGTTGAATCTGGTATTTTTGGCATCCAAAGAGTTGTAGGCCTTTAATTTCTCTCTTGTAAAATCACTTGTTGTTAATGAGATAGTTGTATATTTCGGGCTGGATGCTGGCCATTTCGTCGTATCCAGTATCCATAAGCAGGATGCTATTGCAAAATGGACCTGTCAGATGAACGCCGGTCACTTTAACGTTAATTTTGCAGAATAACTGTGTTTATCACTGGGTGACAAGCTGTTATAAAACGTTGAAAGCATTATGTAAATAATATATATATATATATATATATATATATATATATATATATATATATATATATATATATATATATATATATATATATATATATATATATATATATATATATATTTATACAATAAATAATCAACAAAACTTATCTCTAAAACAACAACAAACGCTGTACGGCATTGGATGTTATTCCCTATAGCTGTTAATGCTAGCGCTCCCGTTTTTTTTCTGCAACCTCGCTGCACATGCACCCTGAATGTTTACAAACCAGGAATTTGTCAATAGAACCTCTAGGCACCCTTTCAAAAGGGGTGGTTCTCTGAGGAACTTAAGAATTCCTGGAGGAACCCTCTTATTAAGCAGGACCAAGAACCACCTTGAGTGCTTTGTACTTCCCAATTTCATTTTTTAATGCTTGTTTTTCGCATCCCTCTTAATTTTTTTGTTTATGCAAACATGTTTAATCATAAATTTAATAGACAAACTGAAAACGTCTGAAAATGATCTCGTACTCCCCTTACATGCTCAATCGACCAGACGGGAGCCCTGGGCTCAATTATTAATTTATAGTTTCTCTCACGGGACAGCATCCCAAACTTGCTAACACTCGTCAAACAATATCTATGTGAACTCTATATATAAAAAAAATATATGTGTATTACAAAATGTACACATGTGAACAAATATTAAAGGATTTTTGAGATCGCTCGATTACACTGATGTTGTTCTCGTTGGTCTAAATATAAATAGGTAATGTAGTTTTCCTGCACAAATTCTGCCAAATGCAAATTGATGGGCTCTTTGAAAAACATTCAATGCAACCTCAAAGCTTAGAATAGGATTGTCTTTAAAGGTTTAGCTTTCTCTTTAGAAACAATGACTGTTGTGCTCTATTGTGTTCGTCCAATCAAAAGAAGAAATGAAAAAGAAAAATAACTGATGCAATGCTTGCATATCTAAATGTAATACTGTGAACATCCATTCATGTCACTTTATTTATAACGGTCATGATAGATGTTGTTTAGTAGTCCAGAATACAGTGGGGAAATGAGTATTGAACACATCATATTTTTTCCTGGTAATAATATTTGTAAAGGAGCTGTTGACATGGAATTGAACTAGATTTTGGTAAAAACCCAAACAATACAAAAAAAAAAATCTAAAATAATAATAAAAAAAAACTGATGAATTGAAACAAGGAGAAAGTACTGAACTATTGAAACCTATTTAATACTTTGTATGAAAGTGGATGGCAGCCTAAAGATGCCTCACATATAGAGAAGGAAGTCACCTGCATTGCACAGGAGTGATTTTTGTTACAGACTTCAACAGAGTGTATAAATCTTGTGGGTCTCGTCTATTAAATTTGATCTTTAATTTGGATTTTCTATTGGATTCAAGTCCAGTGATTGGCTGAGCGTGATTTACTTTCTCTGACAGCATTTGAGAGTTTCCTTGTCTGTGTTTTGGATCTAATCTTGCTGAAATGTCCACTCTGGTTATCATCCTGGTAATGTAGATGATGAACTGAAGCAGCTGAAATTAATTTACAATGACAAAAGGTAGAGGGTTGCTGAAGAACTACTGAGGGATTTCACTTGCTGTCTAGGCTTTCACTACCTTTCTACACCTCCCTTTCTTCATGTGTTCAATACTTTTCCCCTGTGTCATTTCATTACACAACTTCATTTGTAAACTAATTAGGTCTGTTTTCTTTGCATTTGTGGATGTCTTTTGTTGTTACCAACATCCAGTGAAAATTTCAAATCAACGGCACCTTCAGAAATATGTTTCCTGAGAAAAATGATGACATGTTAAATACTTATTTTCCAGGCTCGGATCGTATCGCTTTCTCTCTACAATCGATCCACTTCAGATTTTTTTTTAATCGAGCCGAGACCACCTCATTCAGGCGATCTCGGATCGATTGTTTTGGCGCGGATCCGAGCGCGATTGCTGGATTCACATATGCCAAACGAACCGCGCTAACTGGGCAGACGAGACAGGTTCCGAAACAAAAGTTTAGGTGTGAAAGCACCCCAAGTGTGTGGCATCGACCTAACCCTACTATCTTGTATACAAAGTAACACAAAACTGTGTTTTATTGCTATAATTGCGTTTTATTAAATGTTTACCATCACATTTAATGCATCCTTGCTGTATAAAGAATTAAAAAAATACACGTTTACTTTCCACACCAACGAAAAATTAACAAACAAACAAACAAAAAAAAATCAACAAACTTATTTTTTTTGTAGTCAGCAACATTGTTTTATTACAACATGTGGAATTGCTTTCGGAGTATATAAGATATCCGGCCGTGTTCAACTGAACACAGAACTCAAAGTTACCAAAGGTGCTGTAGCGTACGTTAATGAATCTTGTATAAAAGACAAAAATCATGCAGATATTCTTAAATGCGGATACTGCATGTGAACTAATATTAATCACAAAAAGACATTCAGAGATGACGTCTATAATGAAGACCCTACTCGGCTGTCTCTCGGCCCACTAATAGCGATTGTCCAGAATAGAAATATTCACATTTTTGAGGGTACATCAAGTCAAAGCCAAGATGGAGAAATTAAAAACAAGACCCAGGAGTTTAAATCAGATATGGCGGCGTTGCTAAAAAAGCACTCGTTATTCAATTTGTGCGTGTGTATAAATGTCATAATGAAGGCGTTCTAGTTCATGAGTGATGCATTGGCCACTCTATTCATCTACGAAGCCACAGCTTTAGTTAAATAATTGTTAAATCTACTGGTTTAGCAGACCCATGGACACAGCACAACAACGGGAACTCCAAATGAGGTGTTTCGAGAGGCCCTATTTGATATACACACAACAATTAATGTTGTATATAATCTAACAACACAGACGATTGCCTGAAGAGTTTGTGTTTGATAGTCTGTTGTCAAAAGCATCATCTGTGAACGTCTTCGCTTTTCGTCCTCTGTCGATTTGCTACAGTTCATCTGTTGGCTTTCCGAAAAGTGCTTTTATGATTGGTCACAGTCTATCGAGTATTTGAGAGCTCGGGGTCAGATCTCTTGTGCACGGGCCGTCCCGCACGCCCGTCTCAATTAAGAGTCTGCTTGGTCCTCGTGACGGATGAACATCTAGGGGTCAATCCTCAGATGCAATGCTCCTCAAACAGTTTCTCCGGCTTGTATTTTTATCTCATTGGTTGATTTGCTTTTGAAGCGTCTGTAAACTTCGCCATCTGATTGGACGTAAAAATAGAGTTCTTGTGCATTTTTTTGTTTGTTTGTTTGTTTTAAGGACACTAAGAGAACTACCCTGACTGAACTGCAACAACTGAGCCGTATATTTAATCTATTATTATATTATACCTCTACATACAGGGTAATTGTATAGGTATATCTACCACGAATACTGAAATAGCAAATACTTAGCAGTTATTAAATACTCTGACGCACACACGCACACACATACAAAAGAAGTGGTTGTTATCTGCAAAAGAAAGGACACTGCAACGTAAAGTCCAAGATCTGTTGACTTTAAATTCAAGGAAACACATTCGGTATTGGTCTGGTTGTGTGTCTCTTCGTCGGCGTTAAGAAGCGTTTTGTTGCTATGAGCAGCGGAAATGTTCAGCAGCCCTTGAGAAATGAAACGGTGTTACAAAACATCCACACTGCCTGAGCCTTTTGTTCACCATTTCCCCTCCTTCTCGCTCTCTATTGCACTCGTTTTCATTTGGTTCCACCTGTCCTCTTGTTTTTGTGTTTTTTTAATGGCAGTGATTGAGGCAGCTTTACATTTGATGGCTCCGTTTTCTACATCTGTCCATCGTCCATCCCCACCCAGGAGATCTGAGGAGGAGCTGAACAAGGTCTGTGGAAATGAGGAGAGGAGAGCGCAACATAGTTCGGTATTTGTTCTGTCGTTTCTCTTCTTCTCTTTTTAGAGTCCTCCTCCGTCCTTCATTTGATCACTTAGAAGCTGACCAAAGCGTACACCATACTGCAAAAGAGACCCAGACAGAAAGGAATGAATGAAGTAGAGCATACAAAACTACATAAAGGAAACAAGCACTTTAAGAAAGACGGAACACAAAGAAACAGTTTGCAGATAATGAGTTTAAAATGCAGATAATGAGTTTAAAATGGCTAAAATGGCTTACTAAATAAAAATATTTAGTAAGATGTATTTTCTGCTAACCAAGGCTGCATTCATTTGATTGAAAAACAGTAAAAACCGAATATTGTGAAAACATTTTTTTATTTAAGTGAAGTTTCGAGAGTATCACATGCTAATGATTGAACACAGCTGGTCCTGCATTAGCCAATTAATTATTTACCAATCAGAAGATTCCTAAGTCTCTATAAATCAGACGCCCAAGTTTTCGCGATTTTGTTTTATTTATGTAATATTTTTGTGATTTTTCGCAATAAAAATGACAGTAATGTCATTGTCATGTCATGTTTGTGGCAGTAATTCCCAGAAATTTGCGGACAATTTTGTGATATATATACATACAGTTGAATTTAAAATTATTGGCCCCCTGTTTATTTTTTTCCCCAATTTTTGCTTAACAGAGAGAAGAATTTTTCAACACATTTCTAAACATACTAGTTTAACTAAATAACTAATAACTGATTTATTTTATTTTTGCCACGATGACAGTAAATAATATTTGACTAAATATTTTTCAAGACACTTCTGTACAGCTTAAAGTGACATTTAAAGGCTTAAATAGGTTAATTAGGTTAAGTAGGCAGGTTAGGGTAATTAGCCAAGTTATTGTATAACGATGGTTTGTTCTGCAGACTATCAAGAAAATATTTAGTTTAAAGGGGCTAATAATTTTGACCTTAAAATAGGGTTTAAAAAATTAAAAACTGCTTTTATTCTGCCAAAAATAAACCAAATAAGACTTTCTCCAGAAGAAAAAATATTATCAGACATACTGTTAAAATTTCCTCGCTCTGTTAAACATAATTTGGAAAAATTATAAAAAAGAAAAAAAAATTCACTGACTTCAACTATATATATTATTTACCATATTAGGTAGCCTACTATGTTAGCTGTTTAATCTGACACAATGACAAGGACACAAATCAAGCTTCGTTATTTTGGTCTCTTGTCAAGCCAAAGGAAGACTATAATTTTTATGCATGAACTTACTTTTTTCTCTTTCAGATTTCGCTCCCTGGAGCATCTGACATGTACCTCACTCAGAAAATGCATTAGGGCTTCCCCTACTATACACCTAAAACGTGGGTTTTGGTTTGGCTTTTGGTGTTTTGGTTTTCTCTCGTTAACTGCAGGGCAAGAGTTTAACAAAATCACTTATCGATTTCATGAACACCATAATACCAGCCATACGTGTAGAGCACAAATAATGTCTTTCAATTCGATCAAGTCCAGCAGCCGTCATCTTTAAACCAATCTCCATCATTGTAAGCTGCTTGCTTTTCTGTATGTTCCATTGCTCCGTTTTTTAGATGTTTGTTCTCACTTTTTGTTGCAATTTGAAGCAACTTTTTGAAGTCAAATGCACAAAATTTGCGCATGTAATTTAATGCTTGTTAGGGCGCAGGTGCGACACTCAAATACATCACGTCTGCTGCGTATGCAATGTCTAAGGGTAAATAATTTAATTGCAAACTGAAATAAAGATATTTTGATCATGGGGTTTGAAATTGGATGTTTTATGAGATTATTTACATTTTTTTGCAAATATTTTGTGTTTAATTGAGAATTTTGCAGGATCGCAAAAAAAATTCAACTTTTTGTTGATTTTGCACTGGATTCAGAGATTGCGGATTCGTGAAAAACTAGGGGGTCTGATAAATAACCTAAGTTCCACACCACAGCCATCTTTGTTTTGAAAAATTCCACCTCTACTCATCCTCCTTTCCTAGATGAGTGGCACTGTTGCCGTACAGCAAGAACGTCACTGGTTCTAGTCCTTACCAAGCCAGTCAACGTTTCTGTCCAGAGTTCACATGCTCTCCCCGTGCTTGCGTGGGTTTTCCCCATGCAGGTCCACCGATTTCCTCCCACCATCCAAAATCATGCAACTAATTTACTAATCCTAATCAGCACCATAGATGTGCTTGTAGTAAGTGGTTATCTCTTCATAGCAATCCCTATTTGTTCATTAGCTACAACAGCAGGGGAGTTCTCGAGATCTACCTGAGCTCTAACTCCCCTCTCGCTCTGCAACGCGAGGGAGCCCTGGGCTTGAGGATCTTATGAGCTCAGGGCTCTCTCCTGGGACAGCATGCTAAACAAGCTTTATAATCAATCATCAGCTAAGTGTGAACTCTTGAAGTGGTGTTTAATGTGCTGTATTAAACACAATGGTTTTAATAACCAATTTCTAAAAACTAATATCCCGTATGGTTAAGTCTTCGGTGAATGGTTATTGTAACATTTTCAATTTCATAGGGTTCCTTTTACAGCATCGATGTTGTAATGTAATAAAAATATAATCAGTTAAATAGACTTCAGCATTCATTTAGTTGTTCAAGCGTAATACAAGATGAAAAGCTGTTTACATTGTCAGGATCAGCAGGCGAGTGCAGAAACACCACTGAAAATACTCCAAGACATGGCATGGAGAAAATGCCATTTAATGCAGTGCTTCTTGCACAATCTGAGCCCCACTTTCTATCGTATACTTATCAGGCAGTGGAGATTGTAGATAAAAATTTAAAAAAAAAAACTTAAACGTGACGATTTTGTAACTGCATACAGTTCACCGAAAAAATGTAATAGAAAATGTTTACAAAATGTCATGTATTATATTTCATATATTTGAAAAGAATCAAAATGTCATTGGAGGGCTAATAGTTAGGCCTTCAAAAAAATCAATAAAATAAATCTCCTGGAAAAAGTAAGAGCCATAATAATAATAATAATAATAATAATAATAATAATAATAATAATAATAATAAATCTAATAATAAAATCATGGTGGAATGTCCCATAATAACAAAACCACCACAAATAATATGAAGGTTAATATATGAAGGTATCTATCTAATACACCTTATCTTGAGTTATAGTTTGTTTGTTTTTTATTTTAATGTAATAATGTGCACCTTCTGTAAAGTTTCTTTAGATTGAGAACTATTGTGAGAAGAGCTTTACAAATAAAATGTAATTAATTGAATTACAAAGACGAACAAAAATCTTCAGAAAAGTTTCAAAGTCATTTTTCATTTATCATTCATTCATTCATTAATTTTCCTTCAGCTTAGTCCCTTATATATCAGGGGTCGCCACAGCAGAATAAACCGCCAACTATTCCGACCCTTCTAGCTGCAACCCAGTACAGGGAAACACCCATACACCCTCGCATTCACACACTAAGGCCAATTTTGATTACCCAATTCACTTATGGTGCATGTCTTTGGACTGTCGGTGAAACCGGAAGACCCGGAAGGAAACCCACGTGAACAAAGGAAGAACATGCAAACTCCACACAGAAATGCCAACTGTCCCAGCCAGGACTCAAACCAGCGACCATATTGCTGCGAGGTGACAGTTTTTCATTTAGTCTTTGCTATAATGCCTGGGAAAGTTCCATTTGAGAGATCAGGGCTGCTTAGATTTCAGCCGTTACCGGAGAAAGCGCTATTTCTGAAACATGCTGCTGGCAGAGAGACTATTTGCATTTACAGCCTGCCTGGCTGTTGTACCTGCAGATCAACAGTCTTATTTGTTTTATTTTGGCTTGAATAAAAACTGTTTAATTAAAAAAAAAAACATTTTAAGGTCAATATTATTAGCCCCTTTAAGCTATATATTTTTCAATAGTCTACAGAACAAACCATCTTTATACAAAACCTTGCCTAATCACCCTATCCAGCCTAGCTAACCTAATTTACCTAGTTAAGCCTTTAAATGTTACTTTAAGCTGTATAGAAGTGTCTTGAAAAATATCGAGTCAAATATTATTTACTGTCAATTTATTGTAATTGGGGAAAATAAACAGGGGTTAGTAATTCAAGGGGTAATAATTCTGAATAATTCACTGTATGTATATATATATATATATATATATATATATATATATATATATATATATATATATATATATATATATATATAATCGTTAAAAGATCGCGATCTCGATTCAACCCCCTAGACGATCTTAATTCTGCATTTCTAGTATTCTGTCAATCATATTTACAAGTTCAGGGGCGAAGAAAAGGCGGTCAAGTCTTTTCATTGTTTCACATACGTTGCTCAGTGACATTGACACCTCCAAATGATGTTGAATGAGTCACATACTGTATTTATAAGGTATAGTTCACCTAAAAATGTCATTTTTATCTTCATATAATTATGTTTTCGCGGCCGGGAAATCACACGTGACGTGAGCTGCTGACCGTGAGCAGAAAAGGCACGTGTCCGCACGCTCTACTTAATGATTGACGCGCGTGCGTGTACTTTAGGGAACAGAACCTGCATACAGTATGTTGCGAGTAACAGGTAATACAGTTGTAAATAATATTCAGTTTGTGGCACAGAGTGGTCGTTTGGGAGCCGTGCGGGAAGTATTAACAGTACTTGGCAGTCAAAATGAAACCGAAAGTGTGCACATCATTTAAATGATCTTATCGCATTTTATGATTACGACAAGCAATTGTACAGTTTCAGTATAACTACTCTATTCTATATAATGCTGAATATAATCTGATAATAGCAAATGTCTAATTTTACCAGTTAATAAAATTGTCTAATATGACAGATTGCAAGCATGTATCTCAAACATAATAATTCAACAACAGAACTATTATAAGTAGAATAGAATAATTTATAGACACCAGTAGACCTACACATAATATTGTTATCGATGTTGTGCCATATGTTTGTTTTTACCATACCTTTATTTTACATCTACAGAATCGTAAGAGAATCGTGATCTTTATTTTAAGCCAAAAAATCGTGATTCTCATTTTAGCCAGAATCGTGCAGCTCTTTATATATATATATATTTCCCCCACACATTCAGTGTAGGTCTGGCGAAAATTGTCACATGACAATTAGTATTGTCATCATTTAATGTGCACTGAATAGTTAAACATCTGTCTTCTTTGAACCCCTTGTTAATAAAAAATGCTGTGTTATTACATTTTGTACATTTTTTAACCAAATCTATGATCTGACTGTCTCAAGCATGGTTCAGTAAATTATAGCTCTAATAAATGAAAAAGAAGATCATAAAAACTTAAATAAATCATTATTTTCATTTATATATTTTTAAAAACATAGGAACTTGATCAATTTTGTCACTGAAAACCTCTGGGGTATGCTGGTTTGACATTATGTGCTAATTTTAAATGGGCCAATTGAAAGGAAATTAGTTGAAGAACCCCAATCAAGATCATGTGACTGAAGCCCCTTGTGAAGCCCATGCTGTGCACCTGTCAAGTTTTTGTCTCAGAATTTTTGAAATCTCTATAAAAGTGTTTCAAATATATATTTTTCATAATTTCATATAAAAGAAATAGCACTGAATTATGATATAAGTGTCCAACAATGAGGATAAATCACTCTCCCATTATTTGGATATTATTAAGAATAGTTTTTCTTCATTTTTGCTGTCACATCATAGAGCGTACAGTTTTAAACTTGATAAAGTTCATGATCTCTTATATTTTATCAAACATCAGACTTTATTTAGAGGGTTATACTCTATTTGATCTTTATAAATGGTGTTTAACAAAAAAGAGCATTTGTACTGCATATTTGTCAGCTACTCATATATAAATGCTTAGTAGTTGACCAAATGAGGAGTATTTACCTGTACAGATAGTAGAAAAAGGACAGAAGGTAGAAGCCAAGCTTGCACCAGGACTCTTTTTGGCAGTAATTCAGGATGTCTGCATTCATCACACTCACTGGATCGTACATAACCTCAGAGCCATCTGCGGGACGGTGGAAAAACCTGACAGTAGGAGAGAGGAAATTGCTACAGGGAACTTGTTTTTAATTTCAGGAGTTAAGTAGATGAGGGCGTGGAACAGTTTGTACCTCCAGAGGTGATAGAGGAGCAGCGGGATGTTAAGGCCCAGAGTCACCCACTCCCCCGCACACATGAACATCAGGCAGAACAGCCCGTGGATGGAATATTCTGGAACAACCAGCTGGAAAACAGAGTTAGGGACAGTTTCAAGTCTATAAACTATTTCATAAGTGTAACAAGAAGCAATTCAATCATAACTTAATGTTAAAACAGCTATCATAACATTATTTATCATTATGTGGCTCTTTTTGGATTCTGGGAAGCTATAGAAATTTAAAAAGTAAAACAGGAAATCTGTTAGGACCATTGTTATTGTTTACATGCATCAAAATGGTCTATAGTTTGTCTTTCTTATAGGTCTGTAGTCCTGTAGTAGGCCTGTAGAGTTAAAGGGGTAGTTCACCCAATATGTTTAATTCTGTCATTGATTACTCATCCTTCACTTGTTCCCCTGTTGGAGTTTCTTCTTCTGTTTTATTACAAAGGAGCATATACTGAAGAACGCTGAAAGAAACAGCCATGTTTACTATGGATGTCAATGGCTGCTTTTTCAGCACAAAACTCTTCAGAATATCCAGTTTTATCTTAAACAGAAGAATTGAGGTTTCTGTGGGTTTCACTAAGTCAAATTGAACTTTTTTTTTTTTTTCAAAAAATCAGAGATACATCAGAAATAATCAATACGAATACAGATGGGTACTGAAAAGATTAGGGAGAACAAGAAAAAGGGAAAGACATTTGTACAGTGTTATTTTAAAACAATATATACTGTGTTAAAGGTAAAAAAAAATAAATAAAATGAAATGAAAAGGGGGGTGGGGGTTGGCAGATGTCTCATATACTTATTGTGTATAAAATGAGGCTGTTTACTAAATGTATGTTGTATGTTTAAAGTTAGTCATGTTTAATTCTAAGAATTGGGTTCCATCTTCAAATATATTCATCTGGAGTCTAAGGCAATACGTTGTTTCCATTTCATAAGTTTCTTTAATTGTTTTGATCCATTGTTTATATGTAGGTGGGTCTGATTTGAGCCAGTTAGACGTAATACATTTTAAAAGCAATATTTGAAGTTATTAACTCTTTTTTTTTTTCCCCCCCGCTATGCTCTCAGGTACAATATCTAGGACTGCCCCGGTTGGATCAAAGGGAATATCAATACAAAATGTATTTCAAAGTGCCTCATAGATATCATCCCTGAACTGCTGCAGTTTGGGCAATACCAAAAGATATGAGAAAGGGTCCCTAAATGATCAACACATTCTCTCCAGCATCTGTTAGATGAGCCTATTCTTATCTTTGCTACAATTTGTGGAGTACGGAAATATCTTGTAATGATTTTCCACTTAAATTTTCTCCATACATTTGAGTTTGTTACTGTATGGGCTTCTAAGTGTATATCTGTCCAGTTTTTTTTTTTGTGTAATTTCAGCCTCCCACCGTTCTTTATATGCAAAAGTATTATATGGATAATATGATAACAGACTGTTATGAGGTTTAGAAATAACTTGCTTGCCAGTAGTTCCCATCAGTATTTTCACCATTAACTTTTCTATTTCGTTTGGATTGACAATATTCTCCCATTCTTTATGTTTTGTAAAATAATCTCTTATTTGTAAATATCAGTTCTTGGTAATTGAAATTCTTCTACTAATGGTTTGAATGATTTTAAATTGCTTTTGTTGATAAGCTGATAAATTGACTTTTTAAGACCATGAAGGATGACATTTCAGACTCATATAGGGCTAAACACTAAGGATTTTTAATCACCCAGCACAAATTGCCCCATCAAAAAACTAATAAGCCACATATTTTAGCCACATACTTGAAACAATGTGTCAAAACAAGTAGACCCTTGGTGTATTCGTACATTTTTTTTAACATAACAAAACTCTTTAAAAAAAATGTATGCACAACAGACTGGTATAATATTAGTTATGAATATAGTTTTGCTAAAAGTTTAATTGAGATGTATTGTTGGTGATTGGATGTGTGTTGGATTGATTGGGTAGCTTTACATAAACTGAAAAATTAAGACCTGTTTAAAATGATTTAACATCTACAGACAATATTTCAGTCAATTTAGGACTTTTTAAGACCCCGCTGACATCCTGAAAATGAAATTTATAATAGTTTACAACCACTTGAGTGTGAGTAAATAGTAAAAAAAATAAAATTTTTGTGTGAACTAACCCCATGTCTAATAAAATTCAGTGCAATGCTGCTTAAAAGGCCATACTAAATTATACCTGCACTTATTTATTATCAACAACAATTTAGCATTTTAATTTCCTAGTAGGCAACGCAGTGGCGCAGTAGGTAGTGCTGTCGCCTCACAGCAAGAAGGTCGCTGGTTCGATCCTCGGCTCAGTTGGTGTTTCCGTGTGGAGTTTGCATGTTCTCCCTGCGTTCGCGTGGGTTTCCTCCGGGTGCTCCGGTTTCCCTCACAGTCCAAAGACATGCGGTACAGGTGAATTGGGTAGGCTAAATTGTCCGTAGTGTATGAGTGTGTGTGTGGAAAATTAAAGAATGAATTTAGCATTTTAAACGGACAAGGAATAGATGTAGAAAGGCAAAGTGGAAAGTTCAAGTGGATGTAGCATGGCACTTGCAATGTTAAGATCAACAAGCAATTTCCAGCTAAATTAACATATGCATGACCTGAAAAAAGCATGATGCACATACAATTACTCTGGATAAAAGCATCTGCCAAATGCATAAATGAAAACGCCATTACAACCTAGCTGAGTGACTGATGTTATGAAATACATCTTTGGTTTTTTTTATTCTCTCCAGTTGGACATAAAATTAGCAGGACATATTTACCTATGGACATCACAAAGGTAACAGAATCTGGTAAATCCAATTTGCAGCACATTAGTGTGTTAATCTAAAATGAGTGTGTTGATCTAATCAAAATGACTCAAATTGACCCAGAATGTAATGCAATGTTATTAAATCTTGCCAAATTGTAATATTAGCGCATGCCTAACACATTTAAAAACAGCTGATATAAGGTCCTCTCCATCTTACTTTCTCAAGTTTCACTCACCCTTCGGAGGAGGTTGCAGATTCTCTCAATGTTCAATATTCTTTCCCTCTGAGAAAAACACAGAAGAATGCAATAAGATTTCTAACAGCATGCTTCAAGTGTTTTGTAAGGGTGTACAGGAATGCATGTTGTGTGTGTGTGTTCACATGTGTGCATGCACACTGGAGAGTCATTCTGAAACCCGCTGTTCACAGTCGGAAGAGAAGCTCAAGCCTTTTAAAAGGAATCGTGATCTAAGAAAAGCCTTACCGCTCTGGTGGGGTTGCTCTGATCGATGGGGTTTTTGAAGTCTGTGCGCAGCTCATCAAACGCAATAATCTTGAGGAGAAACAAACAGAATTTGTGTTACACGATCATTCCAACAAAACCAATGCACATTTAGCTGGCTTAAGAGGATAAGTGAACCATCTGTGATTTTGTTGAACTTTTCACCACGGCTAAGTCATGTTCTTCCTCCCTGCTTTTCCCCTTCCAGTTGCTTGTTAATGGACTTTAAAATGGATATTTACATGATATTCCACCATCTTATATGAAATTCTGTTCAGATGTGAGCAAACATGAACCTGCCAAATAATCATAAATCATCACTTCAAGGGAAGAAGATTAGAGAAAATTGTCCATTAAGTGACGAAAAATAAGTCTTCGGTTGACTGTTCTCTAGAATAAAGTGCGCAAGATGAGCCGTTAAAACTCAAATAGCATCAATCATTCATTTATTCATTCATTTTCTTTTCGACTTAGTCCCTTTATTAATCAGGGGTTGCCACAACAGAATGAACCGCCAAATTATCCAGCGTATGTTTTACGCAGCGGATACCCTTCCAGGTGCAACCCATTACCGGGAAACACACACACATACACTACGGATATTTTAGCTTACCCAATTCACCTATAAAGCATGTCTTTGTACTTATGGAGGAAACCAGAACAGGAGGGAACCAGCGATCTTCTTGCTGTGAGGTGACAGCGCTACCCACTGCGCCACCGCACCATCCTCAAATATCATCATTACAGTCAAATAAGAAAAAATAGCTGCACACTTCATAACAACTTTGTTTATTTTTATATTAAAACTATTTATAAAATAAATAAAACATGTAATTATTCAGTTAGTTTATTTTCTCAAAAGTTGTAGTTTTCTATTTTAAAAAAATTGTATAAACATAGGCCTGTTTAAAAAAAATAACAAAAGAAAAACACAAAAATTGAATGAAACTTCAACTGAAATTTAAAATTAAGAAACTTTTAATGAACTAATAATGAAAACTACAACATTTTTTTTTGCAATCTTAAAATAAAATTGAAATGATTTGCAACCATTAAAGACAATATACAGCTAACAACACATAAAAAAAAGTTGTTGTTGAGTTGTTTTAACCAAAGGTTGCTGGTTCGATTCCTGGCTGGGTCAGTTGGCATTTCTGTGTGGAGTTTCCATGTTTTCCTCATGAATAAAGAGGTTTACACTAACGGCCACTTTATTAGGTACACCTCTCTAACTACTTGTTAACACAAATTTCTAATCAGCCAATCACAGCAGCTCAATGCATTTAGGCATGTAGACATGGTCAGGACGATCTGCTGCTGTTCAAACCTAGCATCAGAATGGGGAAGAAAGGTGATTTAAGTGACTTTGAATGTGACATGGTTGTTGGGACCAGATGGGCTGGAGTATTTCAGAAACTGCTGATCTACTGGGATTTTCAAGCACAACCATCTCTGTGGTTTACAGAGAATTGTCTGAAAAAGAGAAAATATCCAGTGAGCGGCGGTTCTGTGGGCGTAAATGCCTTGTTGATGCCAGAGGTCAGAGGAGAATGGCCAGACTGGTTCCAGCTGATAGAAAGTCAACAGTAACTCAAATAACCATTCGGTACAACCGAGATATACAGAATAGCATCTTGAGGCGGATGGGCTACAGCAGCTGAACACCACACCGGGAGCCACTCCTGTCAGCTAAGAACAGAAAACTGAGGCTACAATTCTTACAGGCTCACCAAAATTGGACACCAGAAGATTGAAAAAATGTTGCCTGGTCTGATGAGTCTCGATTTCTGCTGGGATATTCGGATGGTAGGGTCAGAATTTAGCATCAACAACATGAAAGCTTGAATCCATCCTGCCTTGGTGTTGGTGTAATTGTGTGGTGGATGTTTTTTGGCACACTTTAAGCCCATTAGTGCCAATTGAGCATCGTGTCAACACCACAGCCGTGTCAAATCGAGTATTGTTGCTGACCATGTTCATCCCTTTATGACCACAGTGTACTCATCTTCTGATGGCTACTTCCAGCAGGATAAAGCATTATGTTATAAAGCACAAATCATCTCAGCCTGTTTTCTTGAACATGACAATGAGTTTACTGGACTCAACTGGCCTCCACAGTCACCAAATCTCAATCCAATAGAGCCCTTTTGGGATGTGGTGGAAAGGGAGATTCGTATCATGGACGTGCAGCCGACAAATCTGCAGCAACTGCGTGATGCTATCATATCAATATGGACCAAAATCTCTGAGGAATGTTAGAGGAAGTACCTTGTTGAATCTGAAAAGGGGTCCAACTTGGTACAAGTAAGGTGTGCCCAATAAAATGGCCGGTGTGTATAATGCAGTAATTCCCAATAGCATTAGCCAATTTATTTGGTCAACCCTCACATCATGACTGGCGTTTCTTTTTGGTGTGATGGCGTTACAGGATTCTCCCAATGAACAGGTTTGTCTAGTATAAGGTGAAGGAATGTGAAGGAATGAACAGCATGCTCAGGCAACAGGGAGTAGGGAACACTGCGTAGGGACCCAGTCAATCGGAACACACAGCTCATATCTTGCTCACTTCGTTCTCTGTAAACAGATGCAGTTGCCATGGCGATCGGGTGTCATGGTTACCATAGAAGTGAATTCTTACTGGCTGATAGCCATGTGAAGATGGGGGGGGGGAGAAGGAGGGGAAAGGGGGGATGGAGTGTCAGATCGAAATTACGGTTTGATAAGCGTTTCAATAACACGCTTTCTCAGTCATCCGCAGACTCGCAGCCTCCCCCACTCTCCGTCTCCATGCTCTCCTCTTCTCACATACATTTACACTCGCACCAAATGACTCATGTTCAGATTCTCTCCCACTCCTGTCATTAGTCAATGCTCAGTCATTTCAAGTCTGTTTCTTAATGGCCCTTTGAACGTCTTACACGTACAGTCTGCCGTCTAATCTTGACTTCTCGTGTTTTGGATGCTGGAAGTGTTGCTCTCCAGTGTTTTAGCGGTGTTTCAGGACGATTTTAGCCGTTCAGGGCCATTGTGTTTGTCTGCTGTTTGCTTTTTGCGAGAATATGAAGAATACAGATGATGCTGGGGTCTCTGGCGGCGACTGTGTAAATTTCATTTGTGATTCTGCAGACAGCAGGCAGGCACAGAACAACCGGCCGAGTTCAAATGAGATGTTGACCTCTTCCTCTTCAGCGCGCGCGCACGTGTGTGTGTGTGTGCGTGCATCAGGGAATGGTGTTGAAAACAAGCCACACTTAAAAATCTGAATTCTAAAAAGTAAATATTTTATAATAATATAATAATGCTGAATCAATATTTGTATACATATTTAGTAAGTGATTTGAAGAATAGATGGAGGGCAGCAGGGTGGTGCAGTGGTTAGCACTGTCGCCTCACAGTAAGAAGGTCGCTGGTTTGAGTTCCGGCTGGGTCAGTTGGCATTTCTTTTATGATTTGAACTCTTTATTGATTTATCCTATTTCAAATAATGCAGATGAATATCAAATACAAAAAAATATCTGGGATCTTATTCTTGCAAGTATACATTCACTATCGATAAACGCTAGGCCAACTCTCATTCAATTCAAGGTCGTGCACAGAATACACTGGTCTAGAAATAAACTGAATAAAATTTTGACCCAACTTGCCTTTGCTGTACAACCGAACCAGCCACACCGTTACATACTTTCTAGTCGTGTTTGAAACTGTCTGATTTTTGGGGAAAGTCTTCATGTGTTTTCTGCTGTTTTTTCAGTGTCCGTAGACCCAAACCCCTTAACAGCACTGTTTGGAATCCTGCCAGAAAATGTTGCATTAAATTCATTACAGGCCGATAGTGTAGCTATTGCAACCTTACTGGCTAGACTTATTCTTATTCTAGCACCCCCTTCTTATCGGCAATGGGTTTTTGATTTCTTACATGCTCTTTAAATGAAAAAGATTCGGTACGCAATAAAACAAAAGCCAGAACAGTTCCAGAAAGTCTGGAGCCCTTTTCTAAAAAATTTTAAGGAGACCTATATCTTAATTGCCTTTTATCCTTTCTTTTCTTTATATTATTTATTTATTTTTCTTTGTTTTTTATTATTCTTATTTTGTTATCTTATGTTCGTATATCTTTGTTTATATATTTGTGGTATTTTACCTTTTTATACTTATTTACTGCATAATGATGTTTTCCTAATAATTTTTTTGTTTGGTGCATTTTATTAGTGTGTATATCTATATGTTTCAATATTATGTATATTTTAATGTCTGACCTAAGATGAACCTAATAAAAAAACAATTTTAATCAAAAAAATCAAATACAGAGCATTAACATAAAAGCAGAACCACACAAAATAATTAAATAAATACAATAAATAAATAACGTCATATAAATTGCGTAAGTAAAGGAAACCAAAACACATAATAAATAAATAAACACATTTTAAAAAGGGGGTGGGGGTTGCTATGAATGAATGAATGAATGAATGAATAAATTAATTAATGGGGAATAGATGGCTAAATTGATATTGTGAAATATTTTAATTTTATAAATTATATTTACATAATGTATATATGTGTCTAAACAATTAAAAAAATAATAAATAAATGCATTTTGAACAATTAAAAAAAAAATTATTAATATACAATTTACTTTGTCTACTAGATTTTTCATCGCTGTAAAACAGAGAATACTGTAAAAAAATACAGAATATTAACATATTAATAAATGTAATATTATTTGTTTTAAAACTCCCAAACTATTCTTCAAAACTAAATTATTTAATTCATTCATTCACTTTCTTTTTGGCTTAGTACTTTTATTAATCTTATTAATCTTAAACTTATCCAGCATTTGTTTTACGCAGCGGATGCCCTTCCAGCTGCAACTCAACACTGGAAAACACATATACACTCTCATTTACACACATACACTATGTAAGTGAAATTACTGAACATGCATATGGGAGCCTGGGAAAAATGCTAATTTTAGAAGAAAATTTCAGATGGCACTTGGTTTGGTGGTTGGTTCTTGCATCTGAACTCTTCAAATATTTATTTGCAATAGTATATTTCTTACACATTTTTTAAAGTCTGTATAAAAAAATAATCTAATTAGAGTAATGAAGAAAACAGAAAAAACTAAGTAAAAAAATTAAACATAAGAAAATTCTTAAATTAAATCAATAATAATTTTAATATTATAACATACATTTTAAAGGTAAATAAAATACTTCTCGCTGAAAATATAACTTTTCATTTCTTTGAGTTTTATTGTGTGATAAAACTTCTTAATTCTTTGTCAGAAGATACATTATTAAATCTATTACTGACAGTATGTGTATATACTGTGTGTGTGTGTGTGTGTGTGTGTGTGTGTGTGTGTGTGTGTGTGTGTGTGTGTGTGTGTGTGTGTGTGTGTGTGTGTGTGTGTGTGTCTGTCTGTGTGTGTGTGTGTGTGTGTGTGTGTGTGTGTGTGTGTGTGTGTGTGTGTGTGTGTGTGTGTGTGTGTGTTTGTGCACAGCTACACACAGGTAAACTCCCACCTCCTTCCTCCATTTTTTTTGTATCCGTCTACTTGTTCTGTAAATCATTAATCATCCATGACTCAGAATGTCTGCTCTAATAATAACTGCAGTGATTTGTATTCACCTCATGGATAAGGGCTCTTGTTAAGGGCAGGGGAGACAGCTTGGACAGACACACACCAGTCTCTGCACTCAAGAACTGGCACACACACATACACACATTCACACACACATTCACACTTACACAGTCAGAAACTTGGCGATGACATGGATTCTGATGCCAATTGAAATGGAAGTGTGAAAGTGTCGCAGGTAACAGGAACTCGTACACACTCTTAAAAATAAAGGTTTGTTAGTGAAATTAGTGCTTTCATGAAGAACATTTTATCTCTTAAATGGTTATCTTGAGTGGCTAGTTACTCAGAACATACTCACTACACACTCCGTTATCCTTTTTTTTAAAGTTAGACATCAGCCTTCTTAGTATTAAACAATACAACAAGGAAAACAATACAAAATAATGTGAGGTTTATACTTAAATTCTTTAAAAAAAGTATAGGGTCACTAGTGGCCTGAGGTATGTAATAGTGTAAGAATATTTCCTTCACAATTGCAAGAATTCATAATAAATGTCAGATGATTCAATAAGCGCAGTTTACCTTTATTCCTATACTGTAGGTGGCTGATGATGGTGATGTTTTGTCATAATTGAGCGGTGCAGGAATGACTTCAACAGGTGATGTATCTTAAGAGTGTGGGGGGTGGGTGGGGGACTTTGTGCGCGCGGGGAGTGGGAATGGTTTGGGGGGGGGTACGTGATGTATCTGAAGAGCGGGGAGGGATGCGGTGGACAAGAATGCGTGAAGTATTTGAAAACCAGGCAGGAGATGCGCGATTTCCAGGAGACTATTATTCGTTTTGCAGGCATCCGGGAGTCTATGTGCATTTGCAGGAGACTTCCGGAAGTTCCGCGATACTTGGGATGTCTGCAACATTTTTGCTTTACATCGTAAATTAGACGCATACATATAAAAAATGTGAATTCTGTGTATTTTATAAAACAGATGTTTCTAATATATAATTAGATTACAACGTTTGAGTTAAAGTTGTGTCTGTGTGAAGTATCGTCAAGTTATGTTTACGACAGAAGCTGTTTTACTGTTTCATTGAAAACATTCCCATTATAACTTTCCTATTATATTACTCAATATAAACATTTTAAGGGGACCCCAGGAAAACTATTATTTCAGCATCTGATTTAATTCTCTCACTGCTCTATTACCACCAGGGCCGGCGCGTCCATAGAGACGACATAGGCGGCCGCCTAGGGTGGCAGAATAGAGAGGGCAGCTTCCCCGAATAAACCCCCAGATAAACTCAGTTTATCCGCGTCTAGGGCGGCAGAATAGAGTGGGTGGCATCCCCGACACTACCCTCACCACCCGCGCCCTCAGTTATATCTGCGTCTACGGCGGCAGAATAGAGGGTAGTGTCGAGGGCACTGGTGTCGCGAAACTGAACAGCAGGGGGATGAGGGGGTATGGTGTTGAGGTTGTGGACAAAATTGAAGGGGGGGTTGATTGGGCCCCCTAATAGTAACTCTGGGGTAGAGCTGGGCCGATAAACAATATTATATTGAATCTCGATAAAATTTAGGTCAATAACATTGATAAGCGCTGGACTTTTTTTTACTCTGTTTTGATCTAAGAGCCAATCACAGTGCAGAAATGTGCAACAATGGGAATCTAGAAGTGTGTTGATGTTAGAGATGTACCGAATTTTTGTTGAAGTTATTTTTGATCGAATTATCGGTTGAAATTATGTTTTACCATTTAATGCAGTGGGCCTAAACATTTTTATCACCGTGGGCAGGTCAACGCGACAATTTTACCACGGAGGTTGGTGGGGTGTAGCAGTGTTGCTGTCACTCTAAGTATTCTGATTTATGGAAAAAAATTACAAAGCACAGGAGTGTTTAGTTGTTCTGTGTTTGTCTGAGATAATTAGTCTACCGAAATGTGTATATTCCATACAAGCTGAAGCTGATTGGTCAATTGACTCGTGGCACTCGTTGTGCCCTCGCGGAATTCATTAAACTGGGTGTGTGCCACTGGAAATGAATGTTGAAGCACGCACTTAAAATATATATTGAAATATATATCGTTATCGTTCAACATGGAAAACTATTATCGAGATTGCATTTTTGCCATATCGCCCAGGCCTACTCTGGAGGCCCCAAAATGGCGTTGGCCCTTAGAATCATTCTAACTTTGCCCCCCCTTGTGGTGCCCATGGCTATTGCAGTAGCTAGAAATCCATCCTTGTTAGACATAGACAGCTGAATTAACAGCTGTAAAATATCCAGTAAAATATTATGTGCTGTCATCAACTATTAGAAATTAGTTATCAAAACTATTTTGTATGAAAATGTTTTGGAAAAATCTTCTTTCCGTTAAACAGAAATTGGGAAAAATATATATATACAGGGCCTAATAATTCTGACTGTAGGTCAGGTTCACAACAGACCCGAAAACGTAATAATAATATACATTCATGCATTTATGTGTCAATGAAAGTTTCTTAATAGTGTGTTCGTTCCATAAATAAGGTCAGGACAACCTTCAGTTTTAAGAGTTATACACAATAGATGGCTCAAAGCGTACCTGCCAGATGACGAAGAAGATGAGGGCGGCGCACAACACGAGTGTTAACATGTAGCAAAAGGCCGCAAAGGTGAAGGCCATGGCTGTGCCAGCCAGCCTGACGGTGATCCGGGTCGAGAGAGGGCGAGGGGGAGATTTCCCCTGCTCTCTCTCTCAGTCTTTCTATTGACGGCGTTTGCCCTCACTCTCAGGGAAGTCACAAAGCACTTTCCTCTTCCTTCTTCTTCCCTTATTCCTCCTCTTCAAGCTTGGGATGAAGCCGGGAGAGAATTAGTGAGGAATCTTCTTGGTCTGGAGCTGCAGATAGGAGGCGTCTGGCCAGTTATCCGCCTCCGCTGGCTGAAGCGTCTTGTACCGTGTGGCGTGTTCGAGTGTAATTCTTTCTCTCTGTCCACCTAAGATAACTGCTGGAGCCGTTTCCCCTGTTTCTTCACTCGCTCTGCTGCTCTCTCTCTCTCTGATTGGCAGAGGGGGTTTGTACTGTATGTATGTGGAGAATCGCTCTCCTCCCCCGTCTCTAAGATTAGTGCTGTACACTGAGTCCACACACCTTATTTACAGCACAACACCTTACAAAATATCTGGTGGACACATCAGAGGAAGAACGTCCTCGGTTTACCATCTGAAAAACACACATTGATTGGAGATGTGAGGTAAAGGACAGCTGCATGTGTTTGACCCCAACTCGATAAACGATTGTTGACTAGTGATTACAGTTTTAAGTGCAAATGTCTTGACATTTTAATCAATAACAGGACACATACAAGCAATTAATGCAACTGGCCATCTTACGACAGAATGAAAGTTAATTGATCAATTTCAGATTCAAGAAAATAATTGATCAGTTTGGAATTCCAGAAATTATATGAAATTTATATGAACTTTTGAAGAGGGAATGCAACATATTGTTTCAAAGTGAGTCATTAAGTAATTATATTAATGTATGAACACATGAACGACTTTAATCTCTAAACAAGCTCAAGAAATTACTTTTTAGACACTTTGTACAACATTTTGCTTCAAAGTGAGTAATGGAGTAATAATATGGATATATAAACACATTATAAATCGTGATCTCAATGCAAACTCAAAATGACACTTTTTTTTTAAATTTCAGCAGCATATTGCTTCAATGGTAATTTGTCTTTTTAAGTGGCAATACAACACTGAATATATCTATATATCAATATTCCCCATATATCTCAATGCACGCTTAGAACTTGTGCAACATACTGCTTCAAAATGAGTCAGTGATAAATACGATAAATGTATGAATGGATGATTTTAGGATCATTTAGTCTTTATGCAAACTCAAATTTTTCCTTATTTTAGATAGAAGTTGTGCAAGATATAGCATCAAAAAAGGAAATATCCTTCATCGTTTTTAAATGCTAATCATTTCAATTTAGGCATTAAGATGATGATTTTACGACAATATTTTAACCTCAAAACACATTTTTAGAGAGAATGTTTTGAATTTATGCAGTGTATTGCTTAAAATGATGATTTTACTATAATAGATCAACCTCAAAAAGCATTTTTTAGAGAATGTTTTGAATTTATGCAGTGTATTGCTAAAAATTATGATTTTACGACAATAGATCAACCTCAAAACACATTTTTAGACAGAATGTTATGAATTTATGCAGAGTATTGCTTACAATTATGATTTTACGACAATATATCAACCTCAAAAAGCATTTTAAGACAGAATGTTTTAAATTTATGCAGAGTATTGCTTAAAATTATGATTTTACGACAATATATCAACCTCAAAAAACATTTTTGCACAGAATGTTATGAATTTATGCAGAGTATTGCTTAAAATTATGATTTTACGTCAATATATCAACCTCAAAACACAATTTTAGACAGAACGTTTTTGAATTTATACAGTGTATTGCTAAAAACGATGATTCAAGTATATCAAAAACATCTATAAATAAATATAAATAAAAATTAATCTTTGTTTTTTATTGAGCAGCTTGCTTAATATAAATTTATATGAAATATGAAATAATGTTTTATGTCTATTTATTGACCTAAGACACAAACACAGATGCCATTGCATTCATTTAAAACGTAAATATTCTGGCTGAATATTTCATTTTGGCTGATGTAAGGAAACATCTGATTCAACCAATCATAATGATTTAAAAAAACAACAACAAATGCCTCTTTTTTTTTTTTTTTAAGGAGATTTGCAGCCGTGCATAAATCCATAACAGAGCTCTAACGGTGTGTAATCCCTCCAAACAGAGCAAAGCGTGGATAAACAAAGGTGTTGAAATGATAGTGGAAAATGGTGAACTAAGTTACACAGCAGGCTGTAAGAACGCAAGCGTTTACCTGTGTTTTCTGAAGCAGCGACACAAGTCTGTCTACGTCTGTCCTCTCTCCCCTCATTTTCCTTCCATCAATCTGGGTCGACACCATGTCAGAAATCTGTGGTCCGCTTTGCTCTGGGTGTCAGCTTTGGTCCCATCACAGTCTCTCATTGGCTGCTGCGACCAGGTATGAAACAGCAGAAAGAAGCCAAACATGCATGAACGTGCTGGACGTATATATTTTTGCTCTGTTTTATCTTGGGCTTCTGATCCTGCACAGCTTTCTGAAGTCTGACAGTTAATTAACTTAGCGTTTTTCTCTTTCTCCCTCCTTTCGCCTGCTTTACCCATTTCTCGCTCTCATTCCTTCTCTGCCTCTCAGTTTTTTAAAACATGAATTCAAGCATTCCCTGCTGGTATTTGATCTCAAAAGCAGAACCAATGGAAAAGCCCCTCTCTCTCGCCCTCGTCTCTTTGATTAGAATAGAAATGTGATGTTATTACCTCTGCATGCGATGCTCAACTACATTCAACAGTCTCCTCTTCCTCCGTCCCTGTATTTTCTGCCCTACTCTCTCGTTCCCTGGAGAGATCTGAGGGGGCAGAGGGAGCTCCGAGTCTTTTCTTCTTTGGCTTCCCTTGTTTGTCTCTCACTCTCTCTCTCCCTCCCTCTTTTATTCTTCTCTTACTGTCTCTCTCTCTCTCTCTCTTTCTGTGGTACCTGCACTTTTTAGATGAAGTGCGTCTCTGTCACTGCAAGAGAGATGCAAAAACGTTTGATTCTTTGTAGTCAAATCTGCAGTCATGTTTTTAGAGATCAAGAGTGGAGGAGAGGTATTTTATTTCATTCATAATGTGCGCTTTAGAAAAATTCCATTAAATTGCTCTAAATTTATATTTATTTAATCTTTAAAATAAAACAATCATAATTTAGATTTGACATGCTGTACAAACATCTCAAGTACATATATGCAAATACAATATATAGGGCAGAATGTGCATTAGACTACTCAAAAATACATATTTTTTAAGAACTATTGCATTATTTTGCATGACCACTGCATATTTCAAAACAGTGATTTATATTTGTATATGTTTATTACTTATATTATTTTTATTTTATTATATAAATTATTACAATTATTTTTTGTGCATCACATTAATTAATTGCATTTTAAATTATATTAAAACTGAAAAATGCACAATAAATTACAGTGCTATCACAGTATTTCTTTTTTTACTGTATTTTAAATAAAATATATGCACGCGAACAGCAGAGACTTTATTAAAATATTAAAAAATCCTCCTGAATTATGTTATTATGCATAATTTATTAAGTAGAAGCTGCTATTTCTTAGTAAAATGTTATTTAAAAGCCCTCGCAAAACTAACAAAGCCATGATAATCACTGGTCATCACTGCTGTCCTACATGAAAACTGTAAAACAGTTACTGGGATTATACCATTTTAACTGAGTAGAACTGGATTCTTGGATTTATATTTACCACAATTATCATAATAGCATTTTAGGTAACACGTCATTTCACAGTATTTTGCTGTAATGTTACATATAATTACTAATAACAGTATAATTACAAGCAATTCATAATTACAAATACCAATCCTAACACTATACAGAGTATATACAGGAATCATAGAGTGAAATTCAATACCTTTTAAGACCTTTTTTAAGACTCTTTCCGTACATTTTAAGACGATGCGAGATTTTAACTTACAGTATGTTTACTAAATATTAATGTAGTAAACTAATCTATTAAGCATAATGTCACGTCTAGCAGGATTTCATTAATTTCTACACAGCATCCTGATATTCCAGCCTGATCTCACGAGGAAACCTAAGTATTTTACGTTTTGTCAGTTTAGTGGCTAATTCCTACGAATTTAAAAAGGAGCGGTGGCACCCAACTTCACTCTTAACCCCAACCGTCATTAGGTGATGAGCAAATCGTACTACATTGTATGAATTAGATCCTACAAATTCATCCGAATTAGCCACTAAATCAAAAAGTTACGAATTGCTGTGGGATGATATTCACAGATTTAATTCAGGCAAACTTTAGCATACAACCAGACATTGCAAATTAAAAAATTATATCAAATTTAATACCTTGCAAAACAGCATTTAAGACTTTTTAAGCACCTTAAATTTCTTTACATTGATTTATCAACTTTTAATACTTTTTGAGACTCGGCAAACATCCTGCTATGGTACTTAATTTTGCCTTAACATTGCAACAAGCACACCTTAGTAGTAGTAATAATAATAATAGTGTAACAATAGTAAACATAATTATAATTAATAATAATCACTACTTATCTAACAACACTGTAACAAAGGCAACATAAGTGTAATATAATAATAATAATAACGGTTATTATTATTAATACTAATAGCATAATTGGAAAAAAAAAGTTCACATAATGCCTAATTTGCATATAGTGCCAAAACTATCTTCAAATATCTTCAATATTGAGGAAATTTGGTATTTTTCTCTCTTTGCTAATGTATTCAAATAAGCCACACAATTTCTGCATCTTTGTTTGTGCTGTTTAAAGCGTGGGATTTATTGAAGGTTGATTGACAAACTCCTCGGGGAGAAGACAGTGACTCATTGCGATATTAAAGCTTCCGGTTTGCTTTTACATTACTGCAGAAATATAGGCTGTTTTCCAGGAAAACTGACAGATATCCTAAAGCACATACAACACCTCTGACAGATCTGCTCAAGCACGCCATGCGTAAGCTCTTCTAATGGAGTCCAAGAGTACCATCTGGTGGATTCTTCCACATGCTCTCCATTCAAGTTTAACAGCTACCTCTCGCTACTACCCTTCAGGAAATGCCATGACATATAGGAAAAATAAGAGAGAGATCACTTGAAAATTCTCTGTTTATTCACTAAGTGTGGGTTTGGGTAAAATGTTAATATTTGATTCATTCCATGTTGACCTGATAACATTTCTTCCAAATCTCACCGAAAAGAGTTGTCATCTAGAGATATTTTTTACCAGAAAATTACAGCTGTTCAGAATAACGTCTTTTTAGTAACTGTGATTGAAAACATTTCACAAAGCATACATTTCTGAACTTTAAGCTAATTTAATGATTGGTATTAAATGGATGGCCCGCCATCTCATCTTAGAAGAGGTGCTGTTGTTTGTGGTAGTTTATTTTATTGTTTAAAACAGCTGAAAACTGAAATTGTTTCAGCCGTGCATGAAAAAATGTTTTGATTAAATGTTGTAAATAAGTCAGATTTTAAAAATACACTGTCACACATATTTAACATATTTGCTGCTACTGTTTATATTTATTTTTATTTTAAATAAATAATAATAATAATAAAACATATTACTGACCATTTAAGAGTTTATTTACAATGAAAAAGCTCCAGATGAACATATTTTGTAATTTGGGGATTTTTTTGGGGGGGGGGGGGGGGGGGCCTTATTATGGTGGGCATATCCCTTATTATGGTGGGCATATCCCTTATTATGGTGGGCATATCCCTTATTCACATCCCAATGTTGACAGGTATGTTTTAATCCACTTGATGGTGTTAACCTAATCAATTCGGGTTGGCACAACCTGAATTAACTGTGTGGAACCCTACTTTTTTTACAGTGCAGTTCGGCCCTCAATCAAGTTTGGTTTTTGGCCCTTGATAAGGAAAAGTTTGGGCACCCCTTTTTTAGCTACACCACTGATAACTTGTAGTCAAATTACATTTTTTGAGCTTACAGAAACATTAAAGACGAAATGTAAGTTATTGTATAATCATTTACTCACTCTTGTTGTGTTGTATATTGTTGTAACGTTAACGTCTTTGACTTTCCTTCATGAAGGGAGATGTTTGACTTTCTCGCATTGCTTCTCCATCATGCATTTTTGCATCATTGTTTCTGTTGAAGCGAAACGACTTAAATTATATAAGAAACACTCCGTATGGAGATTTTAAAAAATGTTTTAATCAAATGTAGCGATTATAATCCAACTGATTTTAACGGACGCACTTTTTTTGTGAGAAGCGGAACTAAAAGTTCAGTTTGTAAGTTACACCCGGACAGAATTGTGTGTGACAGTAGCGTGGTTGTGTTTTCATTAAACTAGAAACTACAGAATTAATCGTTTCCACTGAAATGGCTGCTAAAAGCCAAATATGCTCAATATGGCTGGGCTCAGAAACCGGAATATTAAAAGGTAAGTTGTTTTCGTCTCTTTGTCGACACGTTGTCCACTTCACCACACTGTTTAGTTTGGCACACGTGAGTCGGCGCAACAGACAGGCATTTACATTTTTTAGGGCCATGCATTTAATCTGTATTTCACCTTAAGGGGTGAGTCTTCGCAAAAAGCAGGCGTTTAACTTCTGTGAGATGAGCTGTTTGAGTCGGGATCAGGAGGTCTGTGTGATGGCATGGGGAGACCCTTACGAATCAGAGGTGAGAAGCAGAAATACTGGACAAACACACTTCAAAATCACCATTTAGTGACTGACCGACGTTGTTAATCTCTGTGTGTGTTTGCAGTTGTTGCTGGGCAGTGTGAACGGCACTGTGAAGACTTTCAGCACAGATAAGGGCATCTTCACAGCCACTAAAGAGTGTGGAGATCCTTCACAGGGTAAATTCACAGGACTGGCCGTCACTGACAGGTAGTTGATAATATAATATCATGTTATGCTCTGCTCTTTAAGGACTGATCATTTGATGAATGGATTGTTGGTTTGCATTGATGTACTGTAGAAGTTATACATTATTTTTCTCTTCTGCTTTTCCAGTTCCATGATAACATGTGTGGAGTCAGGACTGCTGAAAGTGTGGAAGGAAGGCAGTACAGATACTGTAAGTTAGAGAATTCTGTCCACCTACAACTTTTCTTAAGCATGTTTATTGTTGCTAAATATGATTTATTTGCTATTCATAAGAATTACTATGTGGTTCAAAGTCAAGATATGCCCTTTTGGCTGTCCCCATACAAAAATATTGTGTATAAATAAATACAGAAAGCACATTTAGTTAAAAAAGGGAAAATTACCTTAATCATTCAAAAATATTTTGTTAAAAAATAAATATGCGTTAAATAATGTTCCCTTTTTCATGTAAAAATATAACCACATACTTTAATGAACACATTAAATTAAACAGGAAAAGTTTGCCATGCTAGGTTTTATTGTATAAAATTAGTCAAAAATATTTTGCTAATGTCAATGAAGTGGGGATATTATAAACAAGACATGTACAAAAAATGCTGTATTTATCGATGCATTTTTATTTACAAGAACTTGCTTTATTTGTCTTTTACACTGAAAATTTGGATAAGATAGACTTTAAAAAATTTTTTTATTTTATTTAGTTCTGTAAAGCAGGGGTTCCCAAACTTTTCAGCTCATGACCCCCAAAATAACAATTCCACCGACTTATGACCCCCACTATTTGCGAAGGTGGTTATAAACACAAATATTGCACACAACGGTGCACACACACTAGTACAAACTATATAAACACAACACAACAAAGTGCAACAGTCTAACAACCATATCATTTTTATAGTCATTCCTTTGTTTAATTTAACATTAACCTCAATTAATGAGAATGGTAAGCACAAAGTTTAGATTATTCTTAGTTTCATTTTTGTTTCCATTTAACAGTTAAAATAGTTTGCTCTGATCTGTATCCTAAATAATATTAATAAAATAATAAATAAGGTCAGTATACTTATGACCACCTGAATGCATTTTTGCTTTTTTAAACCTGCTATGAAGCAACTGTTATTGTGAAAAGTGCTTTACAAATAAACTTGAATTTAATGTGAAATACCGTTTTAATTGTTGATTAGGTTTAAATAATTTATAATGATCTGGTTAATTTTGTGATAATGTTATATAGGTGTGTATCAGCTTGTAATGTAATTAAATCAGATTCTCAAGCACCCTCATCCATCTGTGTTCTTAGGTGGAGGTAAATGTTGGAAAGGACATTTGCAAAATGCGACAGAACCAGTCACAGCGCCATCATGTGGCTACAGGGGGTAAAGAGAACCCACTGAAAGTCTGGGACCTGGAGAAACCAGATAAACCAATATTCACAGCCAAAAATGTAAGGCAAAAGTCTGTAGCCTTTTCAAGCCCCAGTAGTTTTGATTAATTCTACAAGCTGTTCCTTTTTTCATGAATCCACCAGGTAGCCCATGACTGGTTGGATATGCGAGTACCTGTGTGGGTCAGAGACATCAGCTTTATCGCAGATTCAGATAAAATAGTCACATGCACTGGACATCATAAGGTTTGTCAAATAATTACTATAATCTTTTTAGATTTGTGAATGCATGTTTGTCTATAGTTGTTTCTTCTCCTGTATCTACACTAGACAAAGTTTGGAAATGAACAGGGGCTTGTCACAAAATTCTAACCACTACCGGAGCATTCTATCCAATCAGAAACATTTTTGTTATGAATACAGTGACCAATCAGAGATTTTAAGTTTGGAAAGTACTTTTTTTTATGTGCACTCTCACACAAGATTCCCTCACAAAGAGTAATAAATATAAGAGATCACGTTTACAGTTTAGGTGATTATTAGGGTTGGCTACAGTAAAGTGTCGTTTTACTTTCATTAGGGACAAACTGAGGTATTGAATGCGAGTATGAAGTAAGGACTGGTGGAAGAGTAATTTTTTTATTTTTTTTTTAATTTGATACCACACAGCGAATGAAAAAAAAAAAATCTCATTTCTGTGTCTGTGGTCCTTTACTGACTAGATAGGTGTAGAGAATAGTGTCAAACAGGTGTGTGTGTGTGTGTGTGTGTGTGTGTGTGTGTGTGTGTGGAATATCCTGTTGCCAAATGCGGCAGAAAGTCCTGTATGACAGTAATAGTTTGATTGCAGTGTTTACGTGTCTGAACTGCACTTCAAGAATGCCATTAAAAGAAGCCTACTCCACATATCCTAATTTAATTTCTGTTAAGGTCTGTTCTGGCCCAATACCCTATAAGTGGTTCTGTTCTCTCATCAGTTAGGAATAGAATAACTTTTGCATAGATTATGATCGAGACATTTTTCTTTTTCCTATGATTATTTGACATGTGCAGAAACCAACAAAATTAGTTACAGCAACCTCGACCACACAGAAAAAAAAGAAAGTGCCTCTTTTTTTAAGAAGGGGTTTATTTGAACTCAGACAACATATACAATTATTTGAATCACTTTCAACAGTTTTTTAATGAAAATTCAAAGTTTTTTTTTCTAATTATTTTTAAAGAAAATTGATTTGAGTAAAATTGTTTTGACAACAGTCATCTGGCAAAACACTGTTAAAAATCATTTAATAATTATTGAATTACTAGTTTACAAAAATATATTTTGTACATTTTGTTAGGTATTTTATTACTGCTTTAGTTTTGAAAGAAAAGAAGTCCCCTGCATGTAAACTGTGGGTTGGAGAAATGACTTCAATGTTACATTTGGAGCGAATTAGGTACTGTTTGAAAAGAAAACTTGAGCAATTTAAAATGATACCAAACTTTTGCATTCACACCCCTGCATGTGGATTTAGAAAGCTTTTGATTTTGGGTAAGCAAAATCCAGGCGGAAAGCCCAAATAGCACTTGACTGTATTGTTAATCATAGATTAGAATATAATTTGAACAATTATATTTTTCAATTAAAATGATTAAAAACAAATTGTCAAATAAGTTTTTCTAGAGTCAGCCACTATTATTTTGTGGCTCAAATTTATCGGTTTAGGCATATTTTTGGCTCTGGTACCTATGTGAAATGATCAATTTAGCACTGCTATCAAAATAACCCCAAATGATACCCAACCCTAGTGATTGTAGGGAATTTTTTTGCATAGACTAACATCAAGGACTGATAACTTTTGTCTATGGTTTTTTTCCAAACAGAGAGCATTATTATTCATCTTTATTACAGTATCAAGATCAATAATCAACAATAAAGATTTCATTTTTCTCATCATATTGCAGCCTTGGCTTGTAATGACTTCCTTAAATGTTATGTAGTTATCTTGGTATTATCTGCTATGAACAGTTGTGTTGCTGTAAGCGATAGTTTACTCCAAAACAAAAATTGTAACCATTTACTCACCCTTTAAATATTTCAAACTGGTTTAAGTTTCTTTCTTCTGAAAAATGTTGGAAACTGGTAACCATTGACTTTCATAGTATTTGTTTTTATACTATGGATATCAATGGTTACCGGTTTTATCAGATTATTCTGAATATCTTCTTCTGTGTTTAACAGAAGAAACTCCTTTTTTTTTTGTTGGGTGAGCTATTATTATTTTTGTGGGAACCTCTAAATGTTTTCAGGATTCTTTGATCAAATTCCAGAACTTTCTGATTCATCGATTTATGAAAAACTTTGAATTCAATTATACTGCTTGTATACAAGTAACTGTTAAATTAGTTTTTAGTGAAATGAGGATTAAATCCATCAACATCCATCTACAGACCTCACCAAAAATGTGAAGTTGTTATGGAGATTTTAAAAAGGGATAGTGCACCCAAAAACGAAAATGTACTCACCCTTAAGTGCTTCCAAACTTTTGAGTTTTTTCTTTGTTATTGAACACAAAAGAAAATATTTTGAAGAATGTTAAAATTTGGTGATCATTGACTGTCATTGATTGAAACCATGGAAGTTAATGGTTTCTGGTTTCCAACATTATTCACAGTATCTTCTGTGTTTAACAGAGTAAAGAAATTGAAACCGGTTTGTGACAAGTGAAGGGCGAATAAATTTAATTTTGAGTGAACTTCCTCTGCAATATGTTTTTTTTTTTTACAACAAAACAGAGACATTTTTTATTATAAGTTTTGTAAGCCAATGTTTTTAGTGCCCATCCCGTACCCTTTGCCACTGTCTTCCTTTGTGTCTTAAGGTAAACATCCATGATCAAACACAACTCAAAATATCTTGTTCCACTCCTCCTCCGTCAGGTGCGTGTGTATGACCCCTCGACGCCTCAGAGGAGGCCGGTGTTGGAGGCAGATTTTGGAGAGTACCCGCTCACAGCGCTCTCTCTTCCTGCCAGCCAGGACGCAGTGGTCGTGGGCAACACTCACGGGGAGCTCGCCATCCTCGACCTCCGGAAAGGTAAGCACAGCAGTAGGTGGATGCTCAGTTTATTTTTTTTCCTCTCAGGCAGGCTTGTTTTTGAACTGAAGCTCCATTTGCTCAGGGTTTTTTTTTCCTCCCTGGATCTGTGTTTGTTCCAAGTATAAAGGCTGTATCTGGCCAGCCGTTCTCTCTGTATGTGCAGTGTAATATTATTGAACTCCTGAGTGTGTTGTTTCGTCTGACCCCATTTACTTCTCCATCTGCCTGCAGGGCTTGTTCGTGGGTGTTTTAAGGGTCTGGCGGGGGCAGTGCGGGGGTTGCAGTGCCATCCTTCCCTCCCGTTGGTGGCCTCTTGTGGTTTAGATCGTTTTCTGAGAGTACACAGCCTGGAGGACCGCTCTTTACAGCACAAGGTATGAATGCACAAGAAAAACTGGGTTTCTTTTCTCCAGTCTTGCCACATTTGTTCTTTTTTCTGTTATTTCCAATCCCCTTTGGTTTGTGCATAGCCCTTCTCCTCTCATTTCCATCTGGTTGCATGCATCATATAATCAGAAGTGCCTCCCACTCAGTGTCGCATTTGTATAAATGGTAATTTCATGAACGTGTTTTTTTTTTCTGTGCAGGTATATTTGAAGTCACGACTCAATTGTGTGCTGCTCTCTAGCAGAGATCTGGAGGTAAGCGACTGTTTGGTGTCAGGGGGAGCATCATTTCGATGATTCGCTTTTATGTAACTGCTTGTCAACAGTAGCAATAATGGAAGTTGCTTTCTCGCTGATGACTTTATGCTGCATCCTAATGAGTTGGTTAATCGTAGGACTCTTTATGTGCTCCGTTTCTTTCAGTCATCAAGTGACAGTGGAGATGTAGAGGAGGTGAAAGCAGAGGAAGAGGATGAAGTTTGGGATAACATGGAAACAGTGACGGAGAAGACAAAAAAGAGGGCCGCTGAGAAAGACGAAGCAGCTGTTACTGGAGCAGATGGAAAGAAAAAAAGGAAACAAGTGAATAAGTGATTACTGATGGACATTATTAGCATTTTCTACACAGTTTATGTTATGTCACTGTATCAGCAGTGGCTAAACCTGAAAGACTGTTTAATACATATGTAAAAGTATGTAAAGGTCATCTTTTTGGCTCCTGGAGTGGATTTGAACATAAAATTATCTGAATTGAGAAATTCAGATGAACTTTTTTTAATTGTATAAAAATGTTAAAGGCTTTACAGTTTTAGTGAATTTCCCATCCGTCTCTGTGGTTCTGAATTAAACAGAGTTGAATGTCAAAAATGTAGCATTTTTATTTTAGCAATATGCCCTGTGTTCTCATTAACCATTCTCAAGCTTCATTTCATAATTAGGTCCTCTTAAACCTGCCACTAACATGTTTAAAATGTAACCCATAAAAAATACTAGAATAAAGTGTGCACTCCTGGCTAGCAACAATTCCATGAGCTACAGTATATGCACAGCTAGTGTTGGTGAAGGTTTATGTACCTATTTTAAATTTTATACAGTTCCTTTTACAGGATCGACATTGTAATGTAATTAAAATACACTTAGTTAAATAAATTTAAGCGTCCATTTTGTTGCTTTAGCATCAAACGAGATGATAGACCATGTAAACTCTAGCGCCATCAGTGGCTTCAGGCTAGCGCAGAAACTCCATTGAAAATACTAGGGTAAAATAAATTGTCATATTTTAAAGAGATGGCAGGGAAAAATGAAATTTAATGCAGTGCTTCTTGTTTGCATATATAAGTCTGTGTGCATATATGCCCTTTTCCCAATGCCAATTTTCTTAGATGAAAAATAGAATTTCTTCAAATAACAGTATTTTTGAAATCAGCAATTACATTTTCAATAGTTGATATGTAATATCAATATTGATATCAGCTTTTAAATTTAAACTAGCAAAACTTATGATTCATGACATCAACTGTTTTTATCAATCAATAAATGTCACTATGATGGACATTTGCTTGCTATACACTTCAACAATTGTGCCCTACATTTTACAATAACATTTTTGCTTTGTTATATTTATGTAGCTTTGCAATGCTTCTTTCTTAAAGCCTGTGTAAAGAGAATCATGAATCTGTGCAGGTCTAAAGACCTTGACTTGACCGTGAATGACCATACATACCTGTGCTTGTGTGGGTGTTTGTATTACACATTGCGTTATGCACACTTAAACACACCTTATTCTAGTCTGTGATAAGATAAGGAACATCTTGGTTAGCATTGAAACCGTCAACTTTGTAAATGAAATGATTAGTAGAGAATCACTGATTGAGCATGTTTTGCAAATGTACAGAAACCCTATTTGACATTACAATTACCAAGCAGTCTTTAGATAAACAATTTTTACACAATAGCTATAGAGAATAAGATCCTTATTCTAGATTAATTTATAGTTTTATTAGTGTAAACGTTTAGTGACTTTTTCAGTTGGTCGGATTGATTATAAATAGTATAACCCCAGTTTTACAATAAATGCCATAGTTAAACTATGATTGTATAGTTTTTATTTTGGTTTTTATTTGTAATAAAAACATTGATGTTTAATGCATAACATGTTATTTCCCTGTGTTTTGTTGTCTAGTAAGTAGCACCTTCCCCTGAAAATAACCATGGTTTAATAATAATCAAACCGTAAAGCATTATTGTAGTTGATAGATAATGTAAAGCATTATCTACAAGTCCAGCATGGTTTTATTCAGTTTTCTACAGTAACTAAAGTTTAACAATGGTATTTCTAGAAATATTGCAGTTATACAAAAGACAATAAATCCGCCAACACATGATTACTACAGTTTACTATAATAAAAAACATAGTTACCAGAGTTTCCATTTTCAAGAAGCTGAGGGGCAAAGGGCATCAAATACAGAGGGGGTGAAGAAGTATGACTGTATAAACTGAACTCTGAGACCTTGCAGGGTGGAGAGGCATTATCCCTACTGCTGACTTGTGATTTAAAAACCAGAAGTGTAGCTTTATATGCAGGAATTTCCTGTATGATTCTAGTAAATTTCGAACCCATAAAACATTGAATGTGGTTTGACCCTGTGCGCGGTAACAAGGTCGTAACCACTGGAAAGATTCCGTTTCCTCATGATTTCCTCCTTTCGAGCGAGGGAAAAGGCTGAAACTAATCTGAGAAACACGACCACCACATTACAGTAGGCATCCTGACAGGTATTTTTTCCTATAGGGCTATAAACATTTCAACATTTTAACAGAATGAGTAAAGCCGAGATCGTCCTTGCAGTCTTTTCCCCAGGTTAAGTACTTCAGTCACCAAACTCTTATCAAAAGAAACTCGTGCTGATTTCGACCCTTCACAACTAGACATCCACCTGCCCTGAGGTACTGATACATTTTTATGTGCTTAGATGGAGTATTTTGTCGTGGTACGTTAATTGACACGCCATTCTTGTGTTTGACAATCGAAATTCCTTCACACAGTGTGCGCTTCTGTGCTCTTTCACCTAACAATGGCAATAATTAACTCTCTCCCATGAGTATTTTATTATCCTGTTATAAAGCCTCCTTTTTTTCATTCTTTGATCAATGTTTAGAGTCCATAGTCTAATATCTATTCTAATCATGCAGAATTACCTCATGCTGCAATTAAGACGGCGACCTACATCGCATTTGCTGATTTATAAGGGTGAAGATATCCCAAAAATAAATCTCCAATTAGTTAAAACCACTGTGGATTTAATGTTATGATTATCTACTCAGTACATAAATTTAAGTCAAACCATGGCGTCCTCTAGTGGCTACCTGTGTTGTTTTTACTGCCATGGTTTGGCCTACAATATTTGGATAGTTGATTCTAGTGAAAAGTGTGTGTTTAAACTGGTTTAAATGGATAAATGTACCTGAAACAGCACCAAATAGGGTCCTGAGGTAGCCTGTGTGTAAGTCCAGGATGTTGGATTTGAGGGGCAGGGCCAAAAAGATGTTAAATATTGACGAGGGGTGTAATTATTAACTAAGCTTCAACTCCAAATCACTTTTAAACTGGCCTCTCTCGGCCTGACATAGCATTGCTGACCGACGCTCCCCTCTCACCTGCTGCTCTCGCCTTGTGCTGTCGTTCACTCTGCTGTTTTTTTTGGTTACTCTTTAATTTTTTTATTTTAGCTTCAGTTAACTCTGTAATCTCTATGTTTATTTAAGCTTTCCTTTGGTTTGGTCTTTCTCGGTTTTTATTTTTTAGCTCCAAAATCCTGGACTCCAACGAGGAAGAACTGCGAAGGTAAGAAACTCTTTATTTAATATAAAGTTGTGAGGAATATCAAACATAATTCTGAATTGATATAAGTGTTTGTGCTTAAAAATCCAGAGCAAAACTCATTGAGGTTCAGGTTTTTGCCTCGCCTTGCTCTCTGATTCATCTAGGAAATGGCAATGTTAGCGTCTGTTTGTTTTTTGAAAGGCTAGGTTAATATTCTAATGTAAACACACCTCATTGTCTAACAAAGTCAGACTAGTATAAAAGAGGATAAAGAAAAATAATGCAAAAGCTTTGCTCAAACATTATTTCTCTTAAATCAATTACATTGAAGGCCGAGTTTGTTTCTTTCTAAAAACCAACTTAATTGTTAGTACAAATGAACAAAATGTTCAGACTCAACTAAATGGCACTCTTAAGACTCCACAACACCAATTACTTCAAATTTGACCAAGTGCTTTCCTCTCTACAAAGTCGATTTCATACGTTACATGCTAGTTTAACTCCAATTTCAAGAGCAGCAATTGGGAATTGTGATAAAAATGAACCACCTACATGAGTTCATGCCATTGATTTTCTCTCACCCTACACAAATGCTGGATTCTGCACTGGGATGAGAAAGATAATGGTGGATTCACAAGACGATAACAGGAGCAGATAACACACTCTGACTCATGCGTCGTTTGCCCCCTTTAATTACTTTATTATGCTGTTTTTCCAAAGGTAGCAAGGAGCAGTGGCGAGGTTTACAGCAAGGCAAAGTCTAAAATATGATATGAATGAAGACACCAAGAACCTGATAGAGATTATTACAAGTCTAACCTGTTACTAAAAGGAGGTGATGTGCAAAATGAAGACATAAACGTATATGAATTATTAAACGACACACCCTTATTCCTCTTAGCCCGCACGCAAACTCTGCCGAGCACCCTTGTATTGACTGCCATCATAAAATTGCTGTTATCAAGATCAGTCTTAGCACTTTGGACGTGCTGTTGGCCAATAATGGAGTCTATGGCATGTCATAAAGATGAAAAAGAAACAAGAGGTCAAAGTCATGAGCCAACAGAGGAACTCTCACATGTCCTTAATGGCAGTCATTACCCTTTGTCTGAATCCTGATTGAACTTCTCATTATGCTTTTGTTTCAGGTGGCAGCACTCATTTAAGATGGACATGAATGGAACATTAAATCTGAAATCCACTTCCTTCCGTCGTCCATCTGCAAAGACTTGGTGCTGACTGCTTGTAACAGCAACTCCATGTGGAAGGTTTGTGTCTTCCAGTGGAGCTGCTGTTGCGTGCAGATAGTCACCATTATCTGCTTTATGCATTATTGTGTTTCATTTTAATTCAGATTTCATTTATGTGGTCATAAAGGCGCTTGCATGTTAGCGGAGAGCATGGTTAAGTCTAGGACACAGGGTGATGACCTATGAATTGACAGCCAGTGTTTGCAGTCCAGCTGCCTGTCAGTTCTGTAGGCCACTGCCCTGTTTATCCTACTAAACACACACTGATCTGCTTAGAGACTGCAGGAGACTGTATAAATGTCGGTGGACTACAGAAATGTAAAACAGGGTATCTGCTGGGTCTTAAAAAGTCTTACATTCACTGAAATATTGTGTTGTGTGTCTTAAATAATTTCAAACAGAACAATTTATCTCTTACAAGTTAACTTCCATTCATGCAAAAACTATTTTCAGAAGTAAATAGAGTTTCTATTACTTGATTAAGAGTCTCGCGCCCCCCTTTTTTATTTTTATTTGTTTTATTTATTTTTTGTTATGTTCCTAGTCATGTACTTTTAAATCAACACTGTGTTGGATTGTTGAATATGCCATAATGGTTTGTACTTGAACTTATGGTCAAATAAATAATAAAAAATAAGTAAGGGGGTGTAGACATAATTTTTATAAATAGGCATGAAACTTAAGGCTTTATACCAGAAATGCATTAGGTTGAATAGAAGTTATACTCTATAAATTTGGATCAAAAGCACCAACAAATATATATTTTTGATTAATTATGTAATCGCACACAATAAATATACTCTTTAACAAGGTTAAACTTGTCATTAAAGGAAGGAAGAAAGTAATATTATGTTGAATATAGTGAATATAACTAGAGTTTTATTTTGACACATTAAATTATGTTGCTAAGAAATAATTACATTTTTTTTTTTCTGATTTTTGTGGCAAAAAAAAAATCTGTTGGCCCAATCGGGCCATCAGAAATAATTATTAGTGTTTAGCCCTGTATAAGTCTAACATTTCATTTATAATGGTCTTTAAAAGGGTCTTAAATAGTCACAAATGTCTTGTAATGCTTTCTTTTGGTTGCGAGGGGATATTTATGTATTTATTTCATGGTAGCAATAAGATTATTTAACTGTATTTAGTTTATTTTGGACATTAAAATATTTTAAAATCAGTTTCTTTTGAAATAAATATGATTGTCACCCTATAACTGTCTCACAACTCGTGCTCTTTTCATTAAATTTGGTTTGTTTTGTCACATTCTTTGCATGCATTTCATATTACAAATTAGTCCTAAACCAAGAATAACCGCTATACAGATGAATACAACATTAACTGTGGAAGCTTTCACACACACTAAGTGTGTGCTGCAGTTTGTCTTCTTTTGCTTTAAATGCTCAAGCTGAATTCTGATCGGATGCCAAAAACATTTTTAAAATTATTCTGATGATGTCGATAATGTTCTTGTTATCATTCTAGTTGTGATGTGGACTTTTCTTTTAAATGATTTTAGAGATTTATAGCTATTGGTGTATTTTATTGGGACAGTGTAGATGAGCCTTTTTGTTCACTTTCCATCAATTTATAATTATTTTTCTCAAATCAATGTTGTTAGAGGGTGGCACGATGGCTCTGTGGTTTGCACTGTCGCCTTACAGCAAAAAAATTGCTGGTTTGAGTCCCGGCTAGGTCAGTTGGCATTTCTGTGTGGAGTTTGTATGTTCTCCCTGTATTGGTGTGGGTTTCCTCCGGTGCTCCGGTTTCCCCCACAATCCCAAAACATGCCCTATAAGTAAATTGGGTAAACCAAATTGGCCATAGTGTATGAGTGTGTATTGTGAGAGTGTAGGGGTGTTTCCCAGTACTGGGTTGTGGGTGGAAGGGCATCCACTGCATAAAACATATGCTGGCATAGTTGGCTGTTCATTCCACTGTGGCGACCCCTGATTAATAAAAGGACTAAGATGAATTAAAATAAATGAATGAATGTTGCTACAACATTTTCACAGTGAAACTGATAGCTACAATAAAAACAAACAATAATTATGGTAGAAAATTTTAATTTTATTATTATTAATACAAATAAATAATAAAAAAGAAACTGCTGTTGTTTGTTATCAGGTAATCTGCTTGAGCAAGACTCTGATTAACTATCGAAAATATTCTGGAAAGCGTGTTTGATGATAATGTTATGTCATATTTGTGATGTGGCCTTTCTCTTAGCACCTATTTTCAAAATGTACGGTTATTGTGACATGCTCACGCTCATGACTTTTTACGGTTTGAATGAGCTATTGAAATGAAAACTTCAACACTGAGAGTCCCATCTGTTCACACACTAAATAAAACAGCTGATTTCCTGTAAATGCCAGAATGCTTTCACTTTCAGTTTTGTTTTGCCCAGAGTTTTCCCCACTAACTGCAGTATAAGATGTATCTTGGGAATAGTTCTTAGAAATAAGCTGAAAGCCAGTGAATAGCACCAAAATGATTTAAATACTGATCATCTGTATAATTCCCAAATCAGTGTGCTTCGTTTTGGAAAATTGAGTCTGATACCTTTCTCTCCATGAACAGAAGGCACTGGAACTCCCTGTGAATTCTGATTGACTTTCAATTTCACTCTCTGATACTCTGAAAGAAGCCTTTTATGCTTTGAAAACAAGGAAAGAACATTGTAGATTCTTCATGTGGCATAGTGGGCGGGGAGTGTCATTTTCTAGGACCTCATTATGACAGTGCCTATCTGGCATAAACTATATGCAACTGTCAGTCTTCTGAAAGTCCGGGACAAATATAGCAGTCTGCTAGCTCTACACTCAAATGAAAACCCCCACTCCTTTCCTAGAACAGGGATATTACAGTCCTTCCAAGATCAACAGATGGCATTGATTTAACATGTTAAATAGGCTATTATATTATATTATATTATATTATATTATATTATATTATATTATATTATATTATATGTTTCTTTTATAAAAGTGACAATAAAAAGTTGTAATAAGGTGAAATGTTAAATAAATAAAAAGTTATATTGTTTTATATTTAAAATGTAATTTATTCCTGTAATTCGGCGATGAATATTTCATATTATTATAGATGCTGAAAAAAATAGTATTGCTTAATTTTTTTAGTCTAAACCATAATATTTCAATGAAATATATCACATAGAAAAAAGTTATTTTACATCGGAATAATAATATTTCACAATAATTTTGTTTTTATTGGATTGTTAATAAAAAAATACAATGTTTGTGAGCAAAGTAATTTATGGCCTGTGAATAACTAATTAATTTAATGTTTAATGAGTAAATTATAATGTATTATTATATTATATTATTCATTCATCTTCTTTTTTCTTAGTCCTTTTATTAATCTGGGGTCGTCACAGCTGAATGAAATACCAACTTATCCAGTATATGTTTTACGCAGCAGAAAACATATAATATAGCCCTTCCAGATGCAACCCATCTCTGGGAAACATCCATACACACTTATGCACTACGGAAAATTTTGCCTACCCAGTTTACCTGTACTACATGTCTTTGGACTGTGGGGGAAACCGGAGCACCCGGAGGAAACCCAGGCAAATGCGGGGAGAACATGCAAACTCCACACAGAAAAACCAACTGAGCTTCGAACCAGCGACCCAGCGAACTTCTTGCTGTGAGGCGACAGCACTACCTACTGCGCCACTGCATTCCGCTATATTATATTATATTATATTATATTATATTATATTATATTATATTATATTATATTATATTATATTATATTATATTATATTATATTATATTATGTGAGAATGAAATTCTTTTTATGACCTTCAATTTATTAATTCATTAACAATTAAGAGACCATATTATAATGTATTGTATTATAGAATTAAATATATTCATATTTTAGAACGAAATATATTGATATCCTTCAAATCATTCATTTAATTTAGTCAAGGGGTTATATTGTAATGTATTATATATTTTTTTTTAAATTTATATTATAGAATGAAATATTATGTCTTTGCAGTAAATTAAGGCCTTTGCATTTCAGTAATTAATTAATTTATTAATTAATTTATTTTAAACTTGTTAAAGGATGTTATTGTGTATTATATTATAATTAAAAAAACAGTTGCAGCTCTGCTGGTTGAAGTACATTTTCTTTTTTTATTGTAATAATTTGATTTGGTTCAGTTAGGAATTTCCAAAACCATCGCAGAGTCCCAGGGATCGGAGAGAGGTTGGCTTGGGCTCTCCCTGATCCTATTATATTATAATTTATAACATATACATATAACAATTTTATAACAGAAATGGGTATATTATATTATATTATATTATATTATATTATATTATATTATATTATATTATATTATATTATATTATATTATATTATATTTTATTATATTATATTATTTAAGAATACAATTTTATGAATGACTTTCAATTTATTAATTAATTAATTTAACATTTAAAGGGCTATAATGTTTTGCATTATAGATAATAATATAATATCAGATTATTATTTATAATATTGAATGAAATCACATTTCTTTGCAGAACTTAGGCCTTTGACATTCATTTATTTATTCATTTATTTGATATGTAATGCAGTAGTTTATGGCTTTTATTAATTTTATTCATATTTTATGTTCATTTATTCATTTAAACTGTTAAAGGGTATATTATATTATATTATATTATATTATATTATATTATATTATATTATATTATATTGTAGTGTATTATATTATATTATATTATATTATATTATATTATATTATATTATATTATATTATATTAAATTATAAATCAGTCATCTGAATGAAATTAGTTACAAGCACCACACAGCTTTATAAATAGAGATCTAATAATAATAAAAAAAGTTTCGTAGTTAAATGAAATTATTTTTTGATACACGAATGTCGGCTGTGACATTCACACATAGAATGCATTCACACAAAATCCCAAATGGGAGGAGGGCCTTCCTTTTATTTTGGAAGTTCCCTTCGAGTTTCCGGTCCATAGTAATGTATTAAAAATGTAGTAGGGGGCGCGAGCTCGTACTGTCACGCGCAGAAGTTCTCGAGCTGTGGGAGTCTCGAGAGGAGCTGTGCTTTCCGCGCGGATATAAAAGAAAACTGCAAGGTCGCAACTGACGTGTCAACTAACCTAACTTTAATTTACGAAAGTAGTTAATGTTTGCAGAAAACTAAGGAGCAACAACAATTCTCCGGGTAGCGAACAGCTGACAGCACCGACCCACCACGCTGGCAGTCCGCGGAGCCTGACCAGATCGTAGGACCAGACACTGGGCCGTTAATTCATCAGAACCGTTGCCTAGAAACCAGCAAAAAAACTCGAAGACCGTCGCCAAAGGGCTTTTAGTTTAGAAAGGGGCTTATTTTTCATAATTTCCAAAATGTTCAGTTGGTCTAACAAAGATGGAAAAAAGAAAGACCCGGAGTTATTTCAAACGGTTTCGGACGGGCTAAAGAGACTGTACAGGACCAAACTTTTCCCCTTAGAGGACGCATACCGCTTTCACGACTTCCACTCTCCGGCTCTGGAAGATGCTGATTTCGATAACAAGCCCATGGTACTTTTGGTGGGCCAATACTCTACAGGGAAAACCACTTTTATTCGGCATCTCATGGAGCAGGATTTCCCTGGTATGCGCATAGGGCCCGAACCGACCACCGATTCATTCATAGCGGTTATGCACGGGGAACAAGAAGGTCTCATCCCCGGCAATGCTTTAGTGGTTGACCCCAAGAAACCCTTCAGAAAACTCAACGCCTTTGGAAACGCCTTTCTGAACAGGTTAGCTAAACAGATAAACTCCTCTTTCATTAACGTTACACTTTCAGACAATTGTTTTAAAAACAAACGCCTCATCGTTTACATCGACAGCTCCGCTCTTCAGGGTGTTGTTTTCTTTATCCTTCAAGTTATCGGGGTTTGGGGTTTCATAATTCAAGCATTACCTTTGTCATAATTGAACCTTCTGAAACTAGTTATCAGTATTCAAAAGATGTTCATGTTGTGCTGAATATTGAATCTCCTGCACTTCTATCTGTATCTTTATGCAGGAGCTAGCTTGTACTTGAATTGCTAGGGTGGAGCATTGACAGCAGGGAACTGTTAAGTGGCTCACCCCCAGTGCAGTGCTTTAGGACACTGAAGGAAGATTCGGCATGCTTTCTCCTGAGTTCACGTCACAGTACTCTAATACAGTCAGTTATACATCTTTTTAACATGCACTTTGGCATTCTTTAGTAAATCAAATGTGCCCCAAGATGCAATTTTGTGTATCAGTTTATGAAGATTTATGATTTGCTTATTATGAGCCCTAAAAATCATTAACACATTCACATATGTTTTTGAGTGTAGTTGCTGCCACACCCAGAAAAAAAGCCTTTAGAAAGAACATTTTCAATGTATTTGAGCTATTGAAATCCACGTTTGGTGTATGTTAGCCTTCTTGCTCATTAGACTTTGGTTCCTCTTTCCGTGAGGAGTGTCAGCTGACGCTGGTTTTGACAGCTGCTGAGGCCTTTAGGGGTCTTTTTTAACATGCTCTTGGGGAATGGGGGCCTCCATAAGGAATGACATGCGGCGAAATGAGTTTGCTTTTACAATGAGCTCAACCACAGTTGTCCATTCAACATGTGCTACATACCTTTTCACCGTTGTGCATTTCAGACCTTGTAGATTTCGAAAGAGTGGGTGTGTCGCACTAGTTCTACACTTTTACTTTGACTTGTGCTTGTTGTAGAAATCAGGATAGTTTTTCAAAATGGCCCCCCTCAATATGAACCCCATGCTGGTTAATGCTTGAATGAGAGAGATCATATTTACAGCCCAACAGGCCTAGGCTGGTAGAATGCAGCGGATCATTCCATGAAAATGTCCCTTTACAGAAAACCGTGGAATGCTTTCAGTTTGTGCAATGATTAGGTTGACTAGTCACTCATGAATGGGTGGAGAAAAGTAAAAAATTTCAACCCACCTTCATCCTTGAACTCACCTTGACGCCATGTGCCACTATAATGTCATATCAGGGTAGTGCCAACCAATGAAATACATTTTCCCCTATAAATGTCATATTTTTTTCTGTATTTTTTTCACTAATTTACTTTTTCTGGATTCAGTTTTTTCCAGTCTCACATGAAGTTTGTGTTCATCTAATATAGAGAAAGGCTGCCAAGAGGTGAAAAAGGACAAACTAAGTCACACAACAGATAATCCGAGGAACTGACTCAGCAATTTCAGAGCGTTAACTCTCAAAGTGTCCCTAGTTTGCAAATCTCTGACCCCTGCTTCCTTTATATTATGCTGTTTATTGCTTGTCGAGCATATTAAAATCTCCCTCCCAGCATTTTCACTTTGACCTTGTTGGAATGGTTCAAAGGTGGACTGAAGGTCACTGGAGAGGTATGATGGGTCGCTTTTGCCTTATGACCACTGCTGTAGACTTTTACTACACATTAACCCTGTTCAAGTAGTTCAGTAATACACAGATACCCACCTTTGTGCTGTAATCCCCATCCTCCCTGTGTAACTTGAGTAGTCACTTTCTCCTGTGCAGCTGCATTGATCCTTTTCCATAAGCTCTGGTCTGTATTGAAGCATAGCTGGCTGTAGATTCTCACCCCTATAGTGTTTGACAGAAAGTTGTCCAAAGAGATTATCTCAGATTTCTAAACATAATAGTAATAATAACTCATTACTAATAACTGATTTATTTTGTCTTTGCCATGATAACAATAAATAATATTTTACTAGGTATTTTTCAAGACACTTCTATACAGCTTAAAGTAACATTTAAAGGTTTAACTTGGTAAATTAGGTTAACTAGGCTGGTTAGGGTAATTAGGCAAGGTTTTGTATAAAGATGGTTTGTTCTGTAGACTATCGAAAAAGTATATAGCTTAAAGGGGCTAATAATATTGACTTTAAAATGGTTTTAAAAGAAATGAAAAACTGCTGAAATAAAACGTATAAGACTTTTTCCAGTAGAAAAAAAATTATCAGACATACTGTGAACATTTCCTCGCTCTATTAAACATTGTTTGGGAATATTTGAAAAAGAAAAAAAAATCAAATGGGGCTAATAATTCAGTTCAACTGTATATGGTGTTTTTAAAACCTCTACAAGACTACTGAAGATGAATCTACAGTTATCACAGATATTGTTGGTGTAGCTCTGTGGTGTTTTGCAACATACTTCGTTAAAGCTGGATATCTTGCAAAACAGGTTTCTTCTGATTTATATCTTGGTGTTGATTTATATATTTGTCAGCTGGGTGTCTACATTTTCTGTACACATGAGGAGAAAACATTTTTAGTGGTGTATATTTGAGACAAAGTCCTGGAAAGCAAATATTTCTGCTACACAAGGAAGCGAGCCAGAGGGATACCTCTTACTAAAATGACATCAGTAGCAGGATAATTAAATCTATCAAGTTGTTTCTGCCTTTACAACTGGTCATGTTTGGCAGCACAGCAGTAACTACAGGCTTCCGCTGATCTCCAGTGGCGTAGTAATACTGATTTATTGAGGTCACACCAGTGTGTTTGTAGATTAATTTACAATAGGTTTGAGCCAATCAGAAACAAGGACCAGAACTGTCCAATTTATAAACAGTTTTACTCTTACGTAATATTCACCTTGGTGTCAGCCTCTGCTGTCTCCTTATTTTAGTGTTAAAATTCCCATCTGGCAGCAGGACGATCCTAACCTTTAGTCACAGTTTTGTGAATGACGTATGTGAGCAATTCCAGCATTATGAATGTGACATTTGCAGTAAAAATTTTAAACATAAGTTCACATAAAAAAAGTATATGTTAACAATATATAAAAAGATCTGTTTATATTTTCCAAAATAACTGACCACAGAGTTATGGGATCAAAAAAACATCAATCTGTAAACATGTTTTGTACTTTAAATGAGAAAAATAAACGTGTTAAGGATGTGACCAAAAAAGTGTAAGTTTACAGAACAAAAAATGATTGATTTTATTTTATTTATTATTTTTGCATTTTTGAGGAAAAAAAGTGTCGTTATAGATTTTACATCTCTCCATTATGGATGTGATCGATGTTAAATTGCACTTGTATGACTTTGGTAACTCAAATATAATCGTTTGAAATCATTTACAGAGACATTTTTGAGTATTTCTAACTTGGAAACGGTTTCCATATTTTGGTTTTTCATTGCATGGAATTGCTGGTACATTAGCTTTTCATTGGTGTTCAGGGTTTCTACTGCTTATTTTTGTCTAAACCATCTTTGATAAAATAATGATAAAAGTAACTTTATTTACTTTATATAAAACAATTAAAAAAACTTATTAGGGCTAGGTGATAATCAAAAAGTAACCGAAATCGTCATTCAGAACCTATAATCAATAAAAATTTTCCAGGTCAATTTTTTCAATTACTTTTCCCACTTTCCAAGTGGAGCCACGTTACCCCACTCTGTTAAGGCTGATTTATACTTCTGCGTCAAACGCACGGGTATGGTCCGACACAGCCTTCGTTAAAATGTAACTACACGTCGTACGTTTGCACTACATTGATGATGATTGGAAGCTGTGCTAGAGATGCCTTGAGATGGCATATTTTCTATTACATTAAATTATTATTCACATTAAAATATTGTTCACAGAAGCACATGCAATTTTTTATATTTATTACAGGATATACAAGTTATTTTATTTAGAAGAGATGCTACTTATTATTTTCTACTTTTAATATGAAAAACATTAAAAATAATTTATATTGTTTTAAAAAGTGCAAGTTATTTGTTTTCACTTTTTTTTATAAGAAAAAAGTAACTGTTGGTTTTAGTGTTTGAATTTCAGTTATTCAATGTTGATGTTCAATAAATAATCATAGATGTTACCCACATAGCAAAATTTCTCTGGCCCAGCTTTTCCCCACCCAGTCAAGGGTTGCTTGGCCCACATGCCGCCTTGAATTACGGTACATGACTGGACTAAGTCTAGCTTCCAGACAAGGGCGAAACATGGACCATATCTGGGTGAAGTCTCAACCAAATGAATTGCTTATAACTGGGCCAGATAGGTTGGTTTGTCATGATTGCAATAAAACTGATAAACCAATGAAGCATTGTGCTTTAGGGAACAACCTGATTGGTAGATTTTTTTTTCTTTACTCAAAAATAATTTTAATGTATTTTAAATATGGGTCAAGACAGGCAGAACTGATGTGGCCCACATATCAATTTTTAATATCTGGAACAAATACTACAATTTAAATCTGGCTTAAATCTTGTGTACTACTTCAAAGAGGGTGCCACCTCTGCCAAACCCAGGTCATGTTTGACCCACATGCTGTATGCCAGTGCCGGATAAATGCCTGCTGTGCCAGCTTCATTCCAAATCTGGGCCAAAATTCGTTGCTACCTGGGTAGATGGTGTGTGTTTCCTTCAATTATTTTAAAATCAAGTAATGCACCCTTCATTCAGAAATCGCTCACTTGTAATATGTGAGCAGATTTACTGTACCGTACAGTGAACTATGAGGGCAAAAAAAATAAATAAATAAATACAACAATCGTTCTTTAATCATAATCGAGTTAAAATGTTCAATTAATGGAGATTTAGATGTTAGGCCAAATCGCCCAGTCCAAACATTTCTAAATGTTTTACATATGATTATGATTAATTAATTGCTTCCTCTCTGAACAAAAGTATTAATTTAGTAAAAATCTTACTGAGTTCAAAATTTTGAACAGTTCTCTATAAATGTGCATTGTTTGTTCAGGAAGTGAGGGAATTTTAACTTCTGCAAGTTGTCAGAAGCACTGACGCCAGACTTCAAAAACAAGATATATAACAGATATATTGTATCCATTTTAGCTTTGTACATTTTACACTTTAAAAACATCAGACAAAATGACACAAACTGTCTTTGTCGACTAGCAGCTCAATAACTTGAGGAATGTATGCAGAAGAAGAAAATATGGAATAATTGGCAGGAGTAAAGGTAGCAGCGTGGAGAGAATAACTGATGGCACTGTTTCTGGAAAAAATAAAGGGTGGGGTGCAAGTAAATACACATCGGGGAACACACTGGTAGAGGGTTTGAGGTTAAAGCAGTTTATTTATGACTAAAATGTGCTGGTATGTTAAAGACATGGAAATGATAGCATACTGCTTGGCACATAAATGAAGAACACACAGAAAGATAAACTGCAAGCATTTGGTAATGGAAAAGCTGAGGTAAGAGCTGGAATGATAAGACTTGGCAAGAGAAGAGGGAATTCCGTCCAATCAGTCATGTCGCAGTAAAAACATTACTGAAAGATGACTAGGCCTGATGGTGAAATGTCTGTTTCATTTTCAAGATTAAATTTTTTTTCCCCTCAGGTTCATATGTGCTCAGATGCCAAACCCAGTGCTGGACAGCATCAGCATCATAGACACTCCTGGAATTCTGTCCGGAGAGAAACAACGGATCAGCAGAGGTCAGTTCCAACCCCCCGCTCCCCAATTTCCTTTTTCTATATTTGTCATCTCTACTTCTTTTACCGTCCCCTGTCTTTCCTTCCCGGATTTACCACAACTTAATACTCCTTGTCCTATTAATACGAGTGCAATTTGCATAGAAAGCTACGAGTATAACAATTTCCCCATGCAAAGGAAAGAAGGCTAATTCAGTTAGCTTCTGCATTTTGGGAGTGTTAAGAGGGAAGTATTTTTAGTTCTCCTGTTTACATTAGAGCACAATTAACGCATGCTTCTTCCATAGGCTTATTTTCCTGTAGGAAGGAGAGGAAGTTGAAAACCTAATTAATCTGTGGTGGCAATGTGGACTGTCCATTTCATGAACAATATGATTTGGCCATACAGTATTTGAGCCACAGTGCAAACTAAAATGCTGCAAAAATGTTCAATTTTCCCAGGGGCTGTGTAGTTAACAAGTATTTGACATGAGACAGCACATGAGAATAAGGTGCAGGATTTTTTAAGCTTCCTTGGAAGTATACTTGACTAGTCAAGACTTGTTGCAAGCCTAGAAATGACAATAGAGCATGTTGGTATGTTGTTTATTCAAGAAAACTCTAAGAGAGCATTGTGTATGGAGCCAACCGGTGTCACGCTGAGGACTCTTCCTGTTCTTGTCTATCTGCCGTGGTGTGTGTGCGTGTATGTGCGGGCCTCTCCTTGCTTTTCCCTGTAAACCATGTAAATGTGATCAGAGTGTGAATGGCATCTATAGATAACAGTCTGACAAAGAGAGAGGACAGCTCAGGCCAGGAAACAGACTTTACCGCAGATCAGTGAGGGTGTGGTAAAACTTACAAATGAGTGGACCGTGTGAATGCATTAATGTTCAAAGATTTTCTTTTTTGTTATTGAGTGTGCCGTGTCACAGTGTAGAGGAGTGGCTTTCCTGCTGTTGGTACCAGACAATCAAGAGCAGTGCAGGGCAAAAGAAGAAAGTGCCTCTTTTGGAAAGTCATACCATATTTTGTGTAGGTAGTATCAAGGCAACAATTAATTTTTTTTATTTTTTTGGTTGAAACATTGAATGATAATAGCTATAAAAATAATAATAATAGCTGGATAATATCCACTTTCTGGGTCCATGCCGCCACCCTATACTGTAAAAGATATGGACGTACAGTAGTATCCGTGACTTCACCCATAGGTTTCTGAAGAGTGCAAATGAAGCTACAAGTAGACTTGGCCAACCATCGCCATTTTGTTCATGCGTCATCGCACTGACCGGGGGTGGCCAGTTAAGGGCAAAGAGGCGGAGCATCAGTGGAGCTAATGATCTGTCAGATTCTGAAGTGCATTCGAGTTCTAAAGAAAATTATAAATGCTAAATTATCTTAAGTAAAACAAATACATTTATAGAGATGCTATGCAAGTATATCATTTCACTCACCTGGCAAATAGAGGCCACTTGAATGGTTTGTAAGTACAATTAAGTGCACACAGCATGCCATATCATCTAATAAGTGTAAGAAATAATCCCAATAGGCAATTAACTGTAAAGTCACATAAAACAAAACAAAAATACAAAAATACGATGTATAGGTAATCAGCCAGAATCAGCTGAGGTGACATGACTGGGACCAGCGAGACTTATCTGTCACTCAAGTGGCCACGCCCTTAATAAATTATAAAAAAAATTAACCCCCCCTTTCACAGTTGTCATGAAAGGTAATATTAGCTATTTGCACCAAAACCATCCTTTGTAACAGGCTGCAAACAAGTTTTTGACAGCTGTAAAATTGGCCAATTTAGCATTGGAGTCAGTGAACATCTGGGTTTCTTGGAGCCAGCCCCCAAAGGCGAGTCGATGAATTGCAGTTTCAGTTATTTCCGTATTAGCTTCACGAGGAAGAGCAGGAGGTTGAGGAAATTGAGAAAATATTTGTTTATGACTTTTTAGTTACATTACAATCACTCATTAAATTGAATCTTATATAAAATCATGGTGTGCACTAGGCAATGGCTGATATAAGATTCTGACATAACCTTGGATAAAAATATCACGGTTTCAAGGCACTACGGTATTGTGATTACTTCTCTAAAATATATTCTTTTTCAATGTCTGGGTAAAAAATAAAAACTTTTCCCCACATTAAACACAATATATTTTATTTTGAGAAACATTTTAAATATTTTGGAACAGTAAACATGTCAGACTAAATTCAAATAAATCACAGACTTCAGCTGTTGTCATTAGTTTCAAAAACACTGATTTCTTTACAATTTAAAATGGCATCTTTGGATATCTTTTCTGCTGGAGATACAGTTGTCCAAAAAAATAAAAACAAAACATAAATAAAAAAAAACTTACATATACCTTAGGAACAGTATAGCAAAAAAAATTGGTGGTTTTAAAATCTTGACTTTTCCAAACCGCGGTATACCTTAAAAATGGTTTTCGTTTTATGCCTAGTGTAAACAACAGTCTCTTGACTTGCTGCATCACAGACATCAATATTTTAACAATTGATAAAAAATGTATCAATTTCTGGCCATCACATATTAGTCATTGATGTCTATATTGCAATTGTGATTTTTAATAGTATTACAGTGCTTTGTAAACGTTTATTATTACCGTTTGTTGAGTCTCCTTATACATTTTGATACAGCGCTTGGACCCTATTTGAGTGAAGTCACGCTTAACTAGAGTATAGGCAGTGTTGTTGATTTAAAAACCATAAAGAGCCTTTTTTCAATCATTTAAACATAGCTGAAGTTAAAATGAATATTAGAAAAAACTCTTTATTTTAGTTAGTAGTCAAGGTAATATTTTTAGAATTTCAAACATATCTAATATCGTCTTTGTAGTTTTTTTTTTAGTTTAAGTAGTTCTTATTTTAAAGATAGAAACAACAACTACTCTATTAGCTTCTTAAAAGGGCCAATGAAATTAAAATAAATTTTTTTAGATATTAGTTTTAAGGATATGTATTAGATGGTGTGCTCCAAAACAGTGACACAATTCATGTTTAGAAAATATAAAACTGATATAAACATCAATAGCTTGTAGTTTGTCACTTCCGCCTAAATTGATCACACTTTTTTTCAGTTTCTCATCAAATCTTGACCAATCAAATACTCTCTAGTATCTGACATGTCCTGCCCCCTTTAATACACTTCTCATTTGCATTTCATTGTATGCGCTAGAGCACAGGTGTCAAACTCAGTTCCAAAAGGGCCGCAGCTCTGCACAGTTTAGTTCCAACCCTAATTAAACACACCTGATGAAACTAATTGAGTCCTTCAGGCTTGTTTGAAACCTACAGGTAAGTGTGTTGGAGCAGGGTTGGAACTAAACTGTGCAGGGCTTCGGCCCTCCAGGAATTGAGTTTGACACCCCTGCGCTAGAGCTTAACCACTCTCATTGACAGAGCTGTGATTAAAAACCAAAATGCTATTGGCTTGTTTTGTAAAAGGGGCAGAGTTACACTGTGTCCCTCCCTCTGTTTGTTTTTTCAGTTGAAATCACGTCAAACATTGAATAAAAATGCACGTTTTAAAGCACTTTACAAGACCTTTAAACAGTAAAATGATAGCCATAAGTGTAAAAATAACACCTTATTCGTATTTCATTTTCATTATTTCATACTTTCACTTCTGCTAGGGTTACTACTGTTTATTTTATTTGATAGTAAATCTATGGTGCTATTTGTGTGCACACATCATTATTTTCTTTGAGTGTAAACTATTTCAATATCATGGTACATGAATTCTGTATAATAGTTTGCATCAATGTACAGTAGTTTAGACACAGACGTGAAGTCGAGAAAATGTCCTACATATAAAGGTTTCAGACATGAATGAATGACACTAACCAGGTGTTCTTAAACAGACTTGCATTCCATACTGTACAGCTTTATCTCACGTTGATTATTTAGGTCTGCTTTCAAATGGACCGCACCCTATGGTCTGATAAGTAACTCTTTTCCCCCCAGAGCTCGGCAGTGTCTTGCACGGGTGTAAACACATCATTAGTGTATGGGAGAAGTATTTCCATACTGATATATAGCGGTGTGAGCTTGTGTAAGATCATAGCGTGGACGATGTATTCCATGGGCTGCACATTGAACTTTCCCCAGTGATTTTTTTTTTTTACACATGGCATGAGAGTCACGAGGGCTTTGACTTGTTAAATAAAGTATGAGAGGTAACAGCCCTTCGTCAGAGGCCAGGCTCACTGTCTCTTTTCTTTGCTGACCTTTGCCCTCTTCCTCGCTCTGAGGCAGAATGAGAGCCATAAACTTTGATAGTGATGATGATGGTGGTGGTGGTTTAAGGCGCGGTTGCTTGGAGAATTCACTGATGGGTCACCTGCTAGTCATCACAATGATTCTGTTGTATTAGATGGCCATGAAATAAGGGGATTTTGAAGGAAATCAGACAGCTTAGACGTCCATAATTGTTTAGGCAAATATTTGATTCAAATAAATTTTTAAATGACTTATTTCAGTTCTGCATCCTAAAGTGAAAATGTGCACACGCACACTTTTGAAAGCAGTATAATTATAGAGATCCCGTAGTTGATTTAAATTACTTTTTTTTTTTTCAGCAGGGGGTGTTAAATATATTCAAAGTGTGATGATAGGCCAATTAATAGTTTAAAGATTTAATTTCACTTAATATTACTATTAATATTTATACTGTTTTTCTTATTAACATTGTCATAAACAACACTGGTTTGTTTAGCACAAATAGTTTTACTATTTACCTAGGCATGGTTTGTTTTAGTTTTGGGGTTTACACCTTCAATGTGTCAGGACAGTGGAGGATTGACAGGAAATGATCAGGTGCAAAGAGAGAGAGAGAGAAACAGGACCGGCAAAGAACCTCAATCTGGTAATCAAACTTAGTTTGCTGCAAGCACTGTAATGCTGTCAGGGCAGACTTGTTTTATTTAAGGGCTGCAACTAATGATTATTTTGATAATTGATTCGTCGGTGATTCATTTTTGGAATATTCG